TTAGACTTCCGGAGGACATAGAGACCTCATTTCATCATTCTGTTTCATTCTATCTCTATTCTCCCACTCTGCAGAATCTGTTAGTTCTATCTCTAACGTTATGCTCTCTCTGCCTTTTCTCATAGTAGCTTTGCATCGTCTGTTCCTGTCTGGCTGTGACTCCATCCTGGAGAGAAATATCAGCTGTGCTGCTGCCATCAACACCTTTGTTTATAGATGTTGGAGATTGGCCTGTTTTCCAGTGTTGTCCTGTTTCTCTGACTGTGACTGGCTGGATGTGCTCTCTTAATCCTCTGACATGGGAGTTGGCTCGGAGCTCGTCTGCCTGGCTATGGGTGTCGTGGATGGGGACGCCTTTTACAGTTGCTTTTTGTATCTCCGTTTCTGTCTCCTTGAACCCCAGTCGGCCTCGATGGCCGCTCACAAAGAGCCTGGTTCTGCTGGAAGTTTCTTCCTATTCAAAGGGAGTTTTTCCTCTCCACTGTAGCTACAAGCATGCTTAGTGTGAGAGATTGCATTCGAGTCGATGCAATCAGCTGGTTTGATTGCATGCCTTGAGATGACATGTCTTTTGAATTGGTGCTATATAAATAAACTGAATTGAATTGAATTAAGTTCAATAAGACATTATGGTGTTAACCCCAAAAAGAAGATGAGTTAAGGAACTGCTTTGCTCCCTCACTTACACTCTGTCTCACTGCTGGTATTTGATGTAACACCTAACCATGCACCCAGTCAGCATTTTTTCTCCTCCATAAATAGTCTTCCATATGAGCTTGGCCATATCATCTCCCCGCCTTATTTCTTCCAGCCGTGATCAGGCCTCACCTGGTGCTTCATATAGAGCATGCCATGGAAGAGAGAGAGCCGTGATGCTGAATAGCTGTGTTGGATCTGAAAACACTTAGCCCAGCCCATCAAAGGAAAATACTGCAGTACCTCAATGGGAGGGCAAGGACGCTCCTACCATGAACCAGATGAGGCTTTTAAATCACAGTGGGGAACACTGTGTACTGCAGAGTAGGTGGGCAACACAACAATGGTGTTTTCTATAAATTCAATAGACTTGCCTAGATAAACATTTAAGAAAATCTTTAGCAAAATTAGGAATCAATTGATATCTGCAAAAATAAACAATGTATCTTAATCCAAAATACCTATTTGTCAATCTCTCTGCCAGCATTTCTTTATTATGTAAAGCCTTTTGATTTCCTGATTTAGTTTGTATATATGTAAATATTTTGAGCTGGCAACCAAAAATTGTTTGTGTTTTTTTAAAATGTGAAAATACAATTTGTGCTTTATTGTATTCCTTTTTATCTTGGTTGCTGTTTCAATAGATTTGAATAGGCTTGAGAAACCCATAAAAAAACAGAAAAAAAACTTAAACTACTGTAACAATCACAGCATCCTCCACAATTATAGGCTTCCCTAATAGAAAGGTATTTAGCTTTCTGATTACTGTTCTGACTGTAGATACAGGCTAGTTTAGGTGTCTTGTTGTTTATGTGTAGCCATCTTCTGAGTTATGAGGATTAACAGATATCTGGGTTAGTTATATGATGTTTTCTTGTCTGCGCAAGAGAAAATGGGCCCTGGCTCACCTGATATCAACACATCCAATTCCCTCCATTGTTATTAGCTAAAGCTCCTCTCTATAGACATCCTCCACTCCCTTGTTTTTCCAGACTTCTAAGATTTCTTCCTCTATAGTTAAAGCCCAGTCTGTTTTACATGGACGTCATAGTCAAAACAATATTCAAACCAAAAACTAAGTACACGTTCTCAACTGTCACAGCATAAAACATCAACAGATTTACCTCTGGCTAGGGGGCTGACTTTTATAGAGCAATAAAGGCTGCAAACAGTGGTGTACTGTTTGCTCATAATTAGGGGCACATCAGGGAATGGGGGCATCGGGAAGTACCAGTTGAAAACAATCACAATTCACACCTCCCTTCCCTTCAATATTGTTCCTAACTGTTTATTATATAATTTTGCAATCTGTTTATTTTATTTTGGGCACAAATTGGGGTTTCCTCTATGTTTAATGTTTTATTTTAAACTGGTCTACTCACCTGTGTTAAAAAACAAGACTTATATCTTCAATGTTCATTGAAAATAAGAGGCAAAAAAAAAACCTAATCAGCTGTCAAAAAATAAAAGGAACTGTATGACTGCCTACTAATAATACTTGTTTCAAGCACCTTTTTGATTCTGGCAAAGATCCATGTTTTAAATGTTGCCCAGCAATTAAAAATAATAGGATTTCTGCTTACATTCAATATGTTTTAGTAGCTTGTAAGTGACCTCACCTGTTTAGAAATACAATATGGCTCTTTATCATTCATTTTTTTCATTCACAAAATCTTGGCACTTTTTATGGGGACTTAGACACAGACACTGGAATAGATTGTAAGTAGAAACCTAACCTTTGAAAACAGTGGGCTGGTGCAGGGGGACAAACTGGAAACACTGATCAGGGGAGTGTGCTAAAGGGATGTGTTGGGTGTTTTAGAGCAGTGCGCTTGTGCTCTGAGAAGGTAGGAAGTACACAGTTTGATCCCCACAGCCTTCACTCTGGGTCCCTGAGCAAGACCCTAAACCCCCGATTTCTCCCCAGGCGCTGCACAATGGCAGACCACTGCTCCCCAAGGGGATGGGTTAAGATGCAGAAATTAATTTCTCCATTGAGAGATCAATACATTTTTCTCAGATTTATCTTATAATGAACATACTCAATGTACCCAGAGTGGCCCTTTTGCAAGGCCTGCTGATCAGACAGACTGCAGTCTTCCTAGTAAGCAGGTAAAGGTAGCACTGACCACCAACATGTCTGAATCAATGCAAAGGATGTACTGTTTCATGAATTGTTAGAAAAGAAATGTAACAATAACAAAAACCTTTTTTTGTTTATCCTTACAAACTGCTTTTAGCCAAAACTGCTTGAAATCTCTCTTACAGCTAAATGAGAGCTACTTTGCTGAAATAGTAAGACAGTTTCCATGGCAATAGTTTGTTTTTAAATCTTTTCCCCATCTTTAATTAAATTAATACCGTGGTTATTTCTTTCTGTTAACAATGAATCAGGTTGATTCAATGCAGCCTCCCAGCTGTAATTCAGTCTGTCATCCAGGCTGAGAATCCCTCGCCTGTGTGACGTCAGGAAGCTCTTTGTGTGCCTGTTTGCGGCATCATTATCATCTCATGTGTGGCTGAAGAGGATGAGAGTGGGTGGGAGGTGGGCTCTGCTCTGTGATGTCAGGGTTGGGATTATGTACGGAGGTGCTGCATGGACACAAGCTTGACAGCCTCCTACTGGCTGAGAGGAGACCACATGGGCTTACTGTCTGTGTCCTGCGTGAATCATGAAGATGACATCAAGAGAAGCTAAAGTTCTGTCTGAGTTCGCTTTAATAATCCATCAAAGACAAGTGGTACAAACAAGTTTTAATGGAGATGGCAGACAAGTCCAAGTAATGACCATTCAGATTCATTTTGGACTTTATGGTCAGGTTTAGGTAACCAGTATCTCTTAATATGAGTTTAACAAGATAGAGCACATTAAGTTTTAAATAAAAGAGTCAGAATAAATGTCACTAAAAAAGAAAAAAGCACGTAAACTTCTTGCCAGTCAAGCCATTTGATACAGTACATGCTGTCCTGGACAAAAAGTCTTCAGCTGATCAAAAAACAAATAGGTAAGCATATAGCACCACCCCATGGTGGAAATGATTACTTCCTTTACACTTATTGTAGCTCATGAAAAAAAAAACATGCTAAAAAGCCACTGCTTTAAGATAAATTCCTTGTTTGCTGCATATTAAAAGATCTGCTGCACGTCTGTAACAGAAAGCTTTTGAGATTTCTAGCTCATTGTGCAAAAACAGGAGTCCATTAACCGTAGATGTTTTTAAGAGAAGCTGTCTTCCAATTTAATGTATCAACACAAACCTGTTTCCTCTAATAGCTTGTTGCTTTCAAGTGTTAAAAATGGGTAAAGATAATAGGGGCTTTGAGGCACATCACAATTATACTTCTGGGATAGAGCACTTTATGGATTACTGACATAAGCTTTAACTTTGGAATAAACTCTTCGTTGTAGAAATTGCGCATTTTTGGAGGCAGAATTAACGTTTTTTTAAGTGCAGCAATATATCCTGGTCCTGGGGCAGCAATGCTAACGCTTTAGATCTAGGCTTTTTAACCCTGGTCCTGCATGTTTCAGATGTTTTCCTGTTGCAACAAAGCTGACCTGAATGTATGGGTTATTAACAGGCTTCTGCTGAGTAATGCAATTATTTGTTCAGGTTTGCAAAAGCAGAGACACATCTAAACCATAAAGGTCAGTGAGTCACGAGGACCAGGGTTAAAAAACTAAGCTTTAACTGTTCTTCTGACATCCTAAAGGAGTCATCAATAAAATCTTGGAGTTAACTTTGGAAGGCTGACCACAACTTGGACAATTAACAACTGCCCTCCAACTTTCTCCATGTGTGGATGGTGTCTCTCAGTGGTTTACCGGAGCCAAAAACTTTTAGAAACTACATCCTAGGTGGTTTATGAAAGATTTCACAGATAATTTTTTTTCTGACCTTTTCAAGATCTTCATGCATTTAAGTAGGTTAGATAAGACTGACTTGATTTACGTCAATCATTAAGCAGACCAAGAAACTATACCTCAAAACTGGGTTTAGGAAGAGAGTCAGTATGGAGCACCATTTCTTTAAAAAAAAAAATGTTAAACTTTAATTATTTTTTTTTACTTCCTCAGAATATCTTTCTTCTAATTAGATGATCAGAAATATTTAAGTGTGTCACAACTGTAAAAAAATGCAACAAATTTTTATTTGAAATCAGTAATAGTGATTTAAGTTAGAGGAACCACTAACTTACTGTAGCATTTAAAGTTGCTAAAACAAAAGATCCTTTTAAGGTAAAATGGAAAATGGAGTCCAAGACTGCAATAATAAATTTTTCCATCAAAGAAAGACAAAGAGACTCTTTTTTGCATTAATCTATTTTATTGAACCATTATTAACAATGTTGTAAACAATTTGGACTATGTTGTTTACAATAGCCTCCTATGATATTTTGTTCATGTAGAAAGTTACATTCTGAGCCCAAACGGCTTCCTTAGCCAAGGAGAAAAATAAATACTGGAATGGCACACAGACAATATAAAGTTACTGCTATGAAATGGACTTGGGATCAGTTTTGGCTCTTTTGATATAAAACAAATTAAAACATCTGCAGTCATAAGAGCCAACCTGCTATTATGTTACAGTCAGTCATTAAAACACTCTTTTCTCTACGAAAGTGTCTCCAAACAAAATGTCAAAGTAACAATTAAAACATCTGAATGATCCTTAAAACCTCCATTAAAAGAAAACAAAAACAAGAAAAGACGGGAGATATAAGGAGAGACTTTCTTTAGTGTTGTGTGGTCCCTGGAATGAAAAGTGAATCAACTAAAAACGTCATGATCTTTCTTCCTACATCATTTGGTTGCCTCGATATCCAAAAAAAACAAAAAAACATCAAAGCATTTTTAAATTCCCTTAACATAATTAAATGGCAATATATTTCATTACCTACACTCATATTCCTTCAGACTTTACATTTAAAGTGCCAATGAGTTGAAGCAAACAGGAAGCACTGAGCTGACGGCAGCCATTTTGAACTGTGGGACGGATGTTTAGCTCACTTAGCAAATCTTAGTGAGGAAACAGGTTTTTCTAATGAAAAAGAACACTAACCGGGTTCTTCTACTCACAGAAAACTGTCCATGCACAGCAGATGGACAGTTCTTCATGTGGAAACCTGAATGTTAGAATCTAAATTTTAAAATAGCCTCTGATAGGAAGCTTTATTCTATTATTTTGATCCTAATAATGCAGAAAAATAAGAGAACATTTTTATTGACAAAGCAAATAAGCCTTTTATGTTTCAGATCTAATCCCTTTCAGGTAAATGTTGACTTCCTCACACTATATAAGCTTCAGCGCAGCCTAATTCCTTCGCCTAGCTTCTCCAACTGGACGGTTTCATTTAAGTTAACGTAAATATTAGCTGACCTTTAAAAACAATGAGGAATAAAATGGTACAAAACACTGAATAAAAATTGCTTTTTTGTTGTAATCATTTTGTTTTCTTTAAAAAGAAGTGGTCTACTCAGGCATAGAGGATGGTGTAAAACTCAGAGGACATGCAGGCTTGCTGGACGGCCCTGTGGCTGATGCAGCAGTCTGCAATGTTTTTCAGTCATGAGGAGTGGTGACCTGCCAGACGATGAGGTGGCTTCGCTCGGCTTTGGCGGGCACCACCGGTTGGCTGCCGGCCTGCTCGGGTAAACCCTCCAACTCGCTGCCTTCATCGCCTAAGGGGGAGGAAGATAAGTTACACAAACAGTCTTGCATCACAGTAAACAGGTGGAACATCGACTGTAGTTGTAGTGCTTCTTTGTACAGAAGAAATCTTTTCTAACTTCTCGGATTCAGACTTTATTGAAAGGACTGATAAAAATTCTAAATTATAGAAAAATTAAGCAAGAAACTCTGAACTTCATTTCAGATTCATTAGAGCCCACGGCAGGTCTGTACCCAATAAAAGTAAATACTGAAACTGAATCAAAAGGTGTTCAAACACCTTTTTTTTTTTCTCTATCTCCCAACCCTATAGATTTATTTTGTTGAACGGAACAGGGTATATGTCCCATTAAAGGGGGGACAACATGTTGGAGCTACCATGTCCTGTGTCCTGTTTCCTTTACTCTGACTAGCAGAATTTGCCTGGAGCTTGTCAGCCTGGCTGTCTTTCCTGGACGGGGCCACCTGTGGAGCTAGTTAACAGTTTTGTATCTCTGCTTCTTTCTGTATGTCTGCTTCTGTCTCCTTGAACCACAGTCCGCCTTGGCAGATGTCCGCTCACACTGAGCCTGGTTCTGCTGGACGTTTCTTCCTGTTAAACGGGAGATTTCCTCTCTACTGTCGCCACATGCATGCTCAGTGTGAGGGATTGCTGAAGACTCAAAGGCAAAATGCAAGCAAATCTCATCTTGTCATGCAAGCCAATGACTGGATTAAAATCAACTGGTCTTCCTAACCAATCTGACAGCATTGCCTCTGTAAAGTGACTTGAGTTATATATATGTTGTGAATCCGCTCTATATAAATAACATACATTGAATTGAACCATGAATGTAGTTTATTGGACCCACCTATTCTAAAGTCAATGTAACCTTCTCCTCCGCTCATGACCAGGAATGTTTTGGGCTCAGAGGTTGCTGTATCTGAGCACTCAGATGGAGGATCATCAGAACCTGAATCTGCACTCCCTGGAGGTGGCATGGCTTGACCTGCATCAGAAAGCCAAATCAAAAAAGGACAAAAAAAATATTTCAGCTGAAAAGACAGATAGAAAATGACAGAACAGGCATAAAAGGAAAAAGAAGATAAAATACAGTCATCAAAACGGTTACAGAAAGAAATGTCTCAAACCAACCATTGTTATTTTCTGGACTATAGAGCACACCCTACTTTAAGCCAGACCCACGTTTTTTAAAACTGGAAACATCCATATATAAGCCGCGCTGGGTTATAAGCAGCTGATATCTACCAGCTGTCTACCACCGAACCTGTAGGGGGAGCTCTACATGTCGCCAGTAGAGTAGGTGCGAAGAAGAATGCTAGCTCCCCTAAGCCTGCAGCAGTTAGAGCTTCTCATAAGAAATGGGGCTTCTTCAGCTCTTTATTTCAGTTCTGCAGGAGTTGCATACAGTCTCTTCATTGGTTCGACAGTTTTAATGCAGAAAATAAATGTCAAAATTTGTGAATTCGTGCCTTTCTTCTTTGATTTCCAAATTTGACTTCTGCCACCTGGTGGTTGAAGAAAAATCCACAGACCATGTTTCAAAGTATGGGAAAAATGGGAAAAATGTAGCGGCTCATAGTCTGGAAAATACGGTATATTGCTTGACTGAAAACTGCTTAAACAAAAATAAATATTACAAAAAATATTACTATGGAGCTGTAGGTCTGACAAATATTAATGATTAAACTTCATCTGCAGTCCACCTATAAAATAATATGTTAGAACAGAGGAAAAGGAAGAAAGGTTACCAAACCATAAATATATTAAAAAGGTAAATGTTAACTAATAGCTCATAGAGATAAATGATCTATTATCCTGGGATAAGTTTGGGTTCTCCAAAAAACTTGTGTTTTACATCAAACTCCAAATTAACTTTAAATGAACTTTAGAATAGTTGTTTGGAAGGAACCTAATGAAGATTAACTGGCTGTAAAAACAGCTGTAATAATAGTGGATAGTTGGTTTATTACAGCAGAATGACCATAACTCTGAGTTGGACAAATACATCTAATGGCCCTGGACTCTTACCAGGGACTGTGACGAAGAACTTCACTGCATCTCGATGCCCATGGAAGCAGAGCTGGGCATGGGCCATGGAGCAGAACGGCACGAAGCTGCAGGGCGTAGCACCCTCTGAGCAGTCATCACTGTAAACCCGCACAGCGCTGCCAGGGCGATTTGGCACAACTCCTGACTTATTACCTAAAGAAACAAGAGAGAAATATATCAATAAAAACCTACTGATGTCAAAATCTGTTTATCAACTCATTTAGAAACAGTCTGGTAGAGAAAGGGACATTGACTGAAGCATAATGACAAATGCAGTAAAATGGAGAGCAGTGTCCATGGCAACCTATGTTTCCTTTATTCTACCTGTAGTGCCTGGGATGCTAATCATCTCCGCAATGTCTGACCTTGTCTTATATATATGCTGTAAAAGGATGAAGGCAAAGCATAAAACCTCGGTGAGTTAACCATTGATATCGGCTTATTGCATCCTTTGAAATTTTTTAACAAGCAGAATTAAAGAATTATTGTTTTTTTTATGTGCTTGGCCTGTAAAACTGTGATTGTGTCATTAATTTAGTTGCATTAAGTCCCATTTTTCCCTATTGGCTGCTGCTGTTCCTGTGTTTTGTTTTGCTCTTCTTCAGATGTCTAATATGCACAAACTGTGTTCTTATAGAAGAGGAATAACTTTTCTGTGTTAAAGGCAGTTAATGTATGGAAACAACTCTGAAATATGTTAGATCAGATAGAAGGAAACAAATACAAAACAAACAAATCTGCCTGGTTGAAGAGCTAGATACTAAACATCCCCAGTTAGTCAAATTCAATCTCGAACTCTTAGCTATTTCTGACATTTTGATTTGAAAAAGACTTCCTGGATGGGAAGTGAAACTTCTTCAAACTTGGAAGCAAAGTCCAATGCATTGTTTTTTAACTTTTTTAGAATTCCCAGTTAGTTCTACAAACATTATAAATGATAGAAAATGTTGACGTGTTTGTGTTGCAGTCAGAAACCTGGAGTAATTTACCACCTGGATGGAAAAAGTTTTGCTCTAATTCAACATTTTCCATATTTAGGTAATTATGTTTTGTAGGCCTGTGGTACCTTCAGATAATGGGATGGAGATGATGACTCCATTTCCTGTCCCGACCCACAGTCTGTTGCACGAAATCATCAGAGCTGTGATTCTCACAAAAGAGAAGCCCAGTTTACCCGTACCTGGAATAGAAACAAAATGAAAAAGCAAAATGATTTCAACCTCTCCTAAAACCACAAAGGTTACAGATTTCATGACTTTGTTATGGAGCAATAAAACATGGCCTCAGAAAAATGTTAAAGGTGATCTGGGTTGTAAAATGGCGTTCATACCCAGCATTTTGCTGACATAAGGCTCGATGTCCACGTCTTGCAGGTGCTGGTAGGTGTGGGCATGAAACAAGCGCAGTGTAGAATCCAGTCGGATGGACACCCAAATACCATCTCCAACCCAGGCCAGCTGGCGAACCTGACTCTCTTTACGAGGATGAGCATCAAAAGACTTCTGTATTTCAAAAAACAACAATACATGTCAGAGGTTACGTGCTTTCTGCTGACAGTAGCAGGACTCAAAGAACTGGCGTACCTCTATCCTCATGGCTTTGGGCTGGATGACATAGATCTTATTTCTGTAGCCACACCACACCTTGTCATGGACTACCGTCATGCAGCAGATGGAGTGGTGGGGCCGCCCCAGATCCAGCAGGTGGTAGTTGGTCAGATCCCACTGACCATCTAGATACAGAAACAAGTTAAGTAAAGAGACCAATTGTCAAAAATAGCCTCTGCAGTTATTGTATAAATAAAAAAGCTGCATGTGACAAACTTACCGGTGCCTCTGTGGAAAATTGCTAATGTCCCATCAGCCAAAGCTACCAGCACCCTCCCTTTCACATGCCTGCAACACGGAAATCATATCTTTAAGAGATTTTTTTATGTGTTATGGCATCCTCCATAATTATTGGTACTTCAGGTAGATAACTTTATAAGGTCTTAAAAAAGGTTGATATTTAACCATTATCTTAAATGGAAACAAACATTGAAAGGATCTAACTTAACTGAGCATATTTCATGGGAGGAAAGACATGTCTGTTCTTTGATAAAATCCTATTTATTGGCACCTTTAACATGCTCTGAAGAATGGAGGGAACAGATTATCACTTTACCATTTATATTGATCAGAACCTGGAAACATTTACAGACAAACTGATGATTTTTTTCCTAAAAAAAGTAGCTGTACATACTGGCCATTTTTCAAAATGGGGGAGACAAGAAAACAAGCCATTCAGATAAATGGCAAAACCAAACCCATATAAACTAAGACATTAATGCAAAGACTGAAGCAGCTGAAGCTATGAAAACCAAGGTCAGTCAAAGACCAAATCTGATCACGAAGAACAATAAGCAGAACATTATTAGAATAAAGAAAATAAAAAAAAAGCACCTCGCCAAAAACCCCGAAGTCACCAATTTAGGAGGTCAGGAAAAAACTTTTTTCCGTCGCTCCATCACAAAGGTAAACATGTTGAGTTTGATCAACGGTACTTTTTGTGCAACCATTTGCTCAGATGAGACTGAAGACTGACATTTTAGGCAACGTCGAATCCTATAAAGTATTAATAGTGCAATTTTTGACTATTGAATGAATTGTAAGAACAATATCTGAGAAAGGGTTGCACAGTGGTGAGGTTTGTAGCAGTGCTGCCTTGCAGCAAGAAGGTTCTGGGTTTGATTCCTGGTCCGGAGTTTAAATGTTCTCCCTGTGCATGCGTGAGTTCTCTCCGGGTACACTTCCTCCCACAGTCCAAAAACATGACTGTTAGTTTAATTGGCTTCTGGAGATTGACCTTTGGTGTGAGTTAATGTGCATGGTTGTGTGTCTGTGTTTTGCCCTGCGACAGACGGGTGACCGGCCCCACCGCTACCCTGAATCTTAATGGCAATTAAGGTCCTAAAATAATAATAATGAAATTATTTTTAATGACCCGTGCAAACCCTGGTGTGGTAGAGTGTGTGTGTTAAAATCTAACACCATACTTACACAATGCTCAGGATGGCGTCTTTGAGCTTGATAGCATGGAGACACTTTCTCCACCGTGCCACCGATGAATGCACATACAGGCTTTAGGGCAAAGAGAGAGATGAGTTTAGGACTTCAGTAGAGTCTTAGATAAAAAAAAAAATTAAACAGCCACGGTTATAAAAGGTTCAAATCAAAACTTATTTGGTCAAAGACAACATTTCAACAAATCTAAATTTACTTGAGATGTTTATTAACTTTCTTTAAATGAGTTTGTTTATTATTGGCCGCTCCTTGATTTTAGCTACAGTAAAACCGCCATCTAGTGGTGACTGTGCTCACCATCCGTTCTGAGCTCCAAGCCACATGGTTGGAAGAGAACTGCTCATCCTCAGGACTTCGCTGTCTGATGTATCCATCGCATCTGGCAGGGAAGGCTCCCCATCCTGCTCATAGCCCCTGAAAGCAAAGAAAACAGCAGATGGTTCAAGAATATCAATTCATCAGAGCAATTCCTATTATTATTTAGAGTCCCTTCCTTTCAGAGTTGATCATTCTCACCTCTGTGCATCAGCAGGACAGGAGTCAGTCTTCTCCACCCCAAGAGGGTCTGTAAACACATGCTCTGTGTAAATTCCTGGCTGGTTTGGACCCATTCCCTGATCCTCTTCTCCCTCTTCACCAACACCGGCATTGGCCTCTGTCGCCTCTGTTGCCTCTTCAGCTGTAGGGACCCCGTCCTCTGTTGGGCTTGTCTCTCTGGACAGTTCAGCTGTGAAAATGGAGAAATGATTAATGCAAATAACTCAGAAACTGGTGGAGCACAAACGCTCTTATGAGACCTTTAGAACACATCTGTTATAGCAGCTTTGCTGTAATTTTACTTCAGTCTGTGGAAATCCATTCAAAGAACACTTTATAGTAATGGAGAACCTAAACCAAAGTTTATTGTAAAAAACAAATAGGTCTAAAACGATATAGGATATGTTTAAATCTGACAAATAGATGTCTAGGTAATAATTCAGTACAAAGTAAACTATTGGTTTAGACAGAAGAAAATATATCCATGTTGAATTATCTGTCTTTATATTTTTTATTTAATTTTCTAATTTATTCATTTCCAAATGTTATTAGAAATATGACAAAAAAGATAGAAGCTGATTAATTATTTATATAGTTAGAGGATTATAAAAATTTGAACCTCACTAATTTATAATTTTATTAAAAAAAAATGCATTGATAATTATATTCCAGCATTTAATAGAGAATAAAATCAAGTATAACAATTTAAGGATGTTATTAAGAGCTTATTAATTTGTTGTCCATATATGTGAATGGTAACAAATAGGTTATTTCTTATGGTTATATTTAATGGATTATGGACTTTCTGAAATGCACAGTTGTACCAATTAAAGCTAAATGAAGCAAATTTTCATTGTGACAAAGTAGACTGATAAGCAGACGGAGGCACACTGGTTAAATGGCTATAGAAAATACAATAAAAAAATAATCGGATGCTCAAAGCTAAATGAAGGAAAACTACTGCAAACCAAGCTTCCAAATTAGACATTAAATTTACCTCAGTTTCTCTGCTGTCTACATGAATTGATATAAATCTACTCCCTGCAGTGAACTACCTGCATCTGAAGTGGCGCTGAACTCTGCTGGCTGCTCAGAGACCCCTGAGCTTGCTGTCTGCGGAACGGCTGTTACGCCTTCAGCTGCCGTGGCCCCATCACTGCCTGCTGAACCCACACTGGCCACGCTGCCAGCCAGTGACACCCCGTCCCCTTGGCTGGCCTCTGGGTCCTGGGGTACCTCCTCCCCAGCAGGATAATCCTAAAAGAAACACAGGATCATTTCCTAAAACTACTGAGGTGCAATCAATCAAACTAAACGTTGGTAGTGAGGCGTAACCTACCAGGTACACTAGCAATGCAGACCACATGTGTGTTACAGGCATAGAAGGCATCTAGCAGCTCCGTGGGCTGGGTGGCATCCAGTACCATCACTTTAGTAGAGGAACTGGTGCTCATGGACACCCATACGCGACTGGAGGTCTCATCCTGGACGATTAGTTCCTTCTCCCCTTTCTCCTGTTATTCAAAGCAATCAGACATAAAAAAACACGTAAACTAAATAAAATCTTTACAAACCGATGTCCAGTTAAAACATTAGATTTAACCTCTTTGAACTACTAACCTTGTTATCTTGCTCCAGCTGGTCTAGGCTGCACTGGGAGCCTTTTATCTGCTTTGTCTGCTCTGATGAGGAAACTGTCCGGCCCCCAGACAGGTTGACCCCTGCAGCGCACCACAGCTTGGGAACAGAGAGACTTTGTTACAAATTACTCCTGAGAAACAATACATCAATAGCCTAAGAACATGCAGCTTTACCTACCTTCATAGAAGCATCTTTCTGGTCTAAAGGCCGCAGGTAGACTGGTACAGGTAAATTCATTTTGTTTTCAATTTGTCCCCCATTTGCAACCTAAAGAAATAAAACCAGAAAAAGAATCATATATAAATATATATAAATTAGCAAGAGTTGTTGACAAAAAAAACAAGGAAGCAAATAATATATAGTATTAAGTTTTTTAAGATTTTTTAAGATAGTTAGATACAACAAGGTAAAGTGCAAAGTTCCCAAAACAAAAATATTAATACAGTTTATTCTCATATTTTATTGGGAGCATTTATTTTCACATATAAACACACCATAAGTTGGAGTATTTTTATACGGTAAATAGAATTTGCATTAATTTTTTGTTCCGATTTTACAAACAGAAAGCAATAAACCGAAAAGTGCAGTTGCTGCTTGAATGTGCTCAAAAAAAAGTTGATGTGTTCCATTAGATTTTATTTCTCCAGCTTCAATGCTAAGCTGTGATTTTTAGGGTGATACTGCATGGATAAGAACTTGACCTCTTGAATTGGGGATTCAAAAATTTTACTTCCCAAAAGGTCATGTGTTTTGCGTCTGTCTAGTTTGGACCTTTGCAGACAAAGTTGGATGAAATACAAGCGGTCTGCCTGGCATAATCCCCTTTTAACAGATGTTTCTGAAATCTTTTGATCTTTTTGTATCTCTGTTTTTGTCTGCTTAAACCCCTGGTCATCCTGACCAGAAGGCAGCTCAATCTGAATATGGAGTTTTTTCTTTCCACTGTTGCTGCATGCATGCAAGGTGTGGGGAATTGTCGTGGTGTAAAAAATACAATGAAAACAAATATCTACTGGACGAAAGAATCTACTAAATCCAGGAGGAAAGAATCCTGCAGAATCAATGATTTGATGCAATCAGCGGGGTTTCCTTAGATAAAAAACTTTAACCAATATGAATGATTCTCTCCAAAATGCCTTGAGATGATATGTGTTGTAAATTGGCACTATAGAAATAAACAGAATTGAATTGATAAATACTATGACTTCATACCATCCAAATCAAATGTGATTTTCTTAGGCCTTTATTCATTTTTTATTTTTTTTTTCATGTTTTCAGTGGTGGCAATCGACTTGATTCTATCTCTTTGGTAAAGTGTTAACAACGAGAGTCTGACAACAAACCTACACAACTAAACTTAGATTTTTATTTTGAAAAAAGCAAATAAAAGTTTAATCAAATATCATGTTTAAATTGTTTTTCCTTGTTTTAAATATTCTAATCAGAATACAACTCCAATAAAGAGCACCACAGTTATTATAATAGCTTACAATTGTACAATGAAAAGCAAAAGAGTCAACATTTGTCACCTTGTGTTTGCTCGGTAGGCTCCAGCCGTGCACAGTTACTCGTCCATCCTCTTTCTGCATATGGGCCTTAACCAGTTGGTACTGGGCTTTTTTCTTCTCCTTATGCGAGGGCGAGCTGCACTGCTCTGTTCTAAAGATCATAGTAAAGAAAAATCTTTAGCTGATAAATGATCAGTTTCCATGCACTGTGTGTCATTTCATCACTCACCCATCATTCATGAAGTCAAATATCTTGGACTTCTCAGTGGGGAACTGTGAGAAGGTGCTGCTCCTCTTCACCAGGCTGCCTGGGGAGTTGTACTTCATTTTGGAGGGGTCCTCCGCTATCCTCATGGTCGAGGAACTGGAGGAGGAGCTAAACAGTCTGCTGAAGCTGCAGGTGGTGAGTGCACAGAAAGCCGAGAGGGACACAAAGCAAACAGGAGTGCGGGGGAAAAGCAAGGTAGGGGGTCACCAACCAGACAGTAAAGGAGCACCAACATTTACTGAACCACAACAAACAAGGGAGCATGCTAGGAGCTGTAACTCAACCCTTAGTAATAGATATTTCAGTCAAACCAAAACGACCGATTTAAAAAGCTTTCTAACTGTTGAAAATCAATTAAATGCTTCATTAATTTAAAAAAAAGGAAAATGAAATCTAATAATAAATCTAATAATGATAACCTACCCCCCCAAAAAAAAAACACATTTGCATAAGATATTTTGCTCAATTCTTATCCTGATTAACCTAAATCATGTCTCCACTTGATCTCTTTAAAAGCATCTATACAGGGAACAGAAACCTTATCAATATGAAATAATAAACAGGGACTGAAGCAAAAGGCGTTTGTATTTATGGTCTACCTGCAGCTTCCTGTAAGCAGACAGAATAGAAAGACATTGAAAGGCACAGAGCAGGCAGGAGATAAGAAAGATCCAGGAACACGAGGAGAGTGTTGTCTAAGACGTTAGTGATATCAACCCCCAGCCAGAGCAAAGACTGGGGTTACATTTACATTGAAAAACTCAGGAAAAGGTCTTTGCCATAGAGGGAAGTTTAACAAGGTTGAACAAAGTCCAATCCTCTTTACCTAATGCTGCCCATTCAAAAATCAAATCCAGGAACAAATAATAAAAAGAACAGATTTATGGGTTTAAAGAAACGTCTTTAACCAAAGTCATAAAAAGACAACATTAAGAAGGACTTACAACTGCCAGATGCTTGATTTCTTTTTTTCTGTCAGAGCTGGATTTTCTCTTGAAGCCCTGATGAGGAGACATGAGGACATCCATGATGACTACAGATATTAATTACCAGCACATAAAGCAGAAGCCCGTTCCATTCATTTAGTTACCTGATCATCTCTGTCCACCTCACAGCTTCCTGGAGCTCCATGAGCCGCTCCTTGTACTGGTTCCTCTCCATTAACACTCTGGCCATTTCCACCCTGGTGAAGCGCTTCCTCTGGGCTGTTGGTACCTCACTCTAAGGAAATGCAACACAGAGGCACAACTATTGCGTTAGGAGGAAAACAAAAAGAACAGCTGTAGAGACAAAAAGAGACTCACATCTTCTTCGTCTTTGCTTTTCTGCTTCACCTCCTCGACCTCCTGCCGCACTCTAGAAAAGATCAGTTATAGCACATCAAAGGACGTAGGAGAAACATGTCGATTGGCTAGTGGTTCTAAAGATCTGGGATCAGAAAATGAAAACTGTATTTCATCCATGTTCTAGATCATATTCTGATAAAGGAACTTTTGAAAATCTGACACCATGAATAAAGACTCATGCATGCTGAGGTCTTTTTGTAGAGTTTTTGTCCTTTAAGTCCATTTTACAGCAGGGATTATCAGGGCTGATATTCTGAGTAGCCCCAGAACTATATATCCATGTTTCTGTATAATTCATATCTGTTTAATCTCCCCTCATTAGCATTTCTGCAAACTCCCAGCTCTGCAATATGTTTGACATCAACAACTGAGTTTCACCATATTAGATACTGTTATTAGATACTTTCTTTTTTTATTATTAGAGACTTTTCACAACCAGGTCGGCTTAGGCAATAAACTAGATTTTTACAATTACTGTCATTACGACAAAAGGTGACAATTTTCCCATGTAGGTAAAAGAAATAAACTTTATTTTGCCGGGGGGTTTTTTTGTGTGCGAGGGTGGCTGGTATTTCCTTCCACTTTAAGACATTGCAGCATGCGTCTAATCACGTGTCTCCATTGATCCAGTCAGAAGTATAAACAAATAGAAGGGTAGATGAGCCCAGTGACGAAGCATGCAGAGATAAAGCTGAGTGCGCGCTCTCAGAGTTGAGCGTGCGGCAGACCACTTTTGATTGAGGGTGTGTGAGTTTCAATGATGAACGTTGTTCTTACTGCACGCTCTGTTCGGTGGCACCAAAATTACGCCATAGATGTTGAGCAAAAGAACACGCAAAGTTTGCCTGAAAAGTATCGGGACCACCCAAAGTGACACATTCAGCCTCTTCCACCACCTACTGCACAGCCACACTGTTGAGTTTGAAGATGTGTAAAAAGCTCCATTACCTTTGCACAAAAACATTTGCAAGAGAGGAAACATTTTTCTTCTGTTCAATGAGACATTGTTGGAAGTTTCAACTTGAATGAGTACAAGACTTTAATATTTAATTGAAAGTATTATGTAATATAATTTTTTGAATAAAAGTATTATAAATAGATCAGATGCATTCCAGATAGAGGAGACCGAGCATTTATCGTGCATTTATCGTTATCGAAGTAAAACAACCCAATTTATCGTGATATTGATTCAAGGTCATATCGCCCAGCCCTACATCCAGATCACCATCATCTTAACAAAGTGCCCCAAAATGAAGGGTGTCAGGTTTTCATCTATGTGCTCAAAGAGAAGTTGGTTTTAACAGGTCACTTTACAAGTGACTGATTTGTATTCTTAACAGGACCTTTTTATATATATGCAAGTATCTTCTGAAGTCAAAGGGAAGAGGCTGTTCCAACTGTTGCATTTCCGAATTCTCCTGAGTGGTGCACGACTTTAAACAACTGAATTAAGTGATTGTGATTGGTCGTTTATCAAGGGGGCGGGATTGTTGTGGTTGAAGGTTCGCAAGCAAGTTTGATTGTGGCCGGTTTGTCGGAAGCATCTTGCTAACCAGTTAGCAACTTAGTGCTAGTAGGTTTCCAGCGGGAAATTACATTGAGACCAAGAGGCACTAAATTGGTGAATTAGAAACGACACTGTCAAGGAACGCTATGGGCAGAGGAAACATGAAAGAGGAGGAGAGTTTTGTGTCAGAGGTTGTGGATGAGTCCTCCGTCATACATTTTTTATTTAGAGGAGGAAAGCGGGGACAAAGATGTTGTGGAAGAGGATGCCAGGGCGGCAGAAGCTTGGTTTGGTGTAGAAGGCTTACAGTTGTACAAGTTTGAGCCCTTGCCTCACAACACTGCCAGTTCTGTTAGCTCTACGCCTGTTGAAGAAACAGACGTCCATCCCCGTGAATGCTGGGATGTAACTCAATGGTAATGTAAATTATTCTTATTTCTTATTTCGTATCAAGATGCTATGACCGAAACAATTTGATTGACAGATGACCGTTGATATATGATTGGCAGAATTTAGGTGTACAGGCTAACGTATAACTAACTGACCTGCATAAGATAACGAAAAAAAAAACACAGATTTTAAGACAGGATTTTTTTTTAAATAGAAATTTTCTACATTTGAGACAATATGGTCTGATAAAGAGTACATTTATATTAATGTTTAAGCCGGAATTATTTAATATTTAAATATGATTTCGCTACGACTTTAAATAGAGATACATTTATGTATGAATATATACATCCATGCTAGACATAGAGGGATACATTACCCAGCCGATATTTGTTTTTTTTGTTTGATTAGTAGTGGCCTTGGTCACCTTGGTCACCTGATCACCTAAAGTGAGCTGCCGCTCCCTCCATTTGCTATCCATTCTCAATGTTCTGTTTGATTTGTTAATAAACGCTTTTTTTTTCATTGTGTCTATTTTATTATTTCAATTGAGGAATAAAAGAAGTATCATTTAAAAAATCAGCATTAACAAACATATTTGCACAGTAGATGCATATTTGCCTAGCTTCAAATATAATAAGCAAAAACAAGCTCTTAAAAAAAAGAACATTATGGACAACCCTGAGGATCCACTTTAAGACTGTAGAACAATATTTCAGACAAAGTCTTCTCAAGATCCCCAGCAAGACAGACAGCTTAGCAAGATCCTTCCTGCCTACACCTAATAATATTTATAAAAACTTGAGAATGTGTGTGTTTATAGGCAGAATGTGTGCAAATATGTATTTACATGCTATATTGCATTATACTATATTTTCATTTGAACACTTGCATGTTTATACAAATACCTAAGAAACAGTTATTTTTTTATGAGTGCCCTAAATTGGACATATAATTATTGACCAAGGTACGATGTCAAATAAGTTGTGGACGTGTTATTTTTCTTAGCAGTAAATACAGGTTTTGTATTTAGAGAGAAGCTTTAAACCCACAGAAATATTATTACTTTATAGGACAAATAACAATTTTCCTTTCATTTATAGGGATTCTGTTTATGCTTTAAATTAAAAGTAAAGTATGTATAATTTTTATGACTATATGTTGCTGACAGAAACTATTTATGGTAGTGAATTGTTTGTTATTCATAAACTGCAATCTAAAGCAGCTTTCAGAAAGACCTGACAATATTTGACCAATTAATTCATACTTTGAAACTTGGAAAAAGGTAAAGACCTAAGATAAGACCCTTCATACATTAACTGGGGAAATAATGCATCAGTTAGCTTATTAAAAAACAAAAAAAAAACCCTAGTAGTACCTTTTTAGCTCCTCCTCCAGCTCTCTGTTTTTCTCCTCCATCTTGTTTTTGGTCTGCAGAAGAGCCTCCATCTCTCCCTGTAGCACCTCTTTCTCACAGGTCAGCTCATCCACTTTCAGGATCAGGTCTTTATTAACCACATTCAAAGCATTCCTGGAGAAACAGATAAAGTAGGCATACAGAGTGACTGTACAGATGGGCTTCAATGAGTTAGACTGCCTTTGCATTTTCTTTCCATTTAAAGATGCATCTTTGTTAAATGTACTCACTTTGTCTCAAGCAGCTGTGAATTTTCCTGGATTAGATTCTCAACTTCTCGACCCATTCCTAAACCGAAGCAAAAGCAACGCTCAAATTTTAAGCACTCGAAAAACTATTCGCAAAATTAACATCAATCTAAAGTTCTGACTATTTCAGCACTACTCAGACTATCCAAACTAACAACTAAACTTGAATCTAATTAACACAAAGAGTAAAAGCTTCTACTGAGTTATCTACTGCAGGCGGTTTAACGAAACAAGACCAGACAGCAGCACAGCACGAGTCACATGACTGACAGGAGAGAAATGGAAAGATCAGGTGAGGTCTTACCAATCAAACTAAGGTCTGAGAAAACCATGCAATCCAAGTCAGGCGGAAGAGTAAGGAGAGAGATAGAGAAATGGGGATAAGCATGAGACAGTGAAATGATCAAACGATGATGTCAGAGCTAAATCTGCAGCAGCAGATCCAACAAGTCATAAAACAATAGCTGCTGCTAAATCGCTAAATCTGTTAACTGGAACATCAAAATACAAGAAAGAAAATATGAGGGCTAAAAATAAACTTTAACAGCGGCAAAAAGGAAAAGCTTCAACTCCATCTTTCATGCAGAAAACCTTATAAAAAAACCAAGCCGAAGAATAAACTGTGCATTACTTGTGCTAACTGTTGTTGAACAGGATGAAAATGAGGGTTTGGAGGTATAACAATGGTGCATATGATAGAGGGTGACTAATGGGGCAGGACAGAAAACTATAAATCAGAGGAAAGGTTGAGATCATACACACCAGAATATTCCACTGGGATTATGGATAAAAGCCAGAGAATGGGATACAGGAGAGAGAGAGGTGATGTTACCATGGATACAGGGCTAACGGAATATACAACAGCTGGACCAGAGAACAGTGGGGGACAAATGTGTGGAGTGCGTGGAGTACAGTACAGTATCAGTACAACTTATTCTGCTGTTCTAGTTTTTTTTTTTTTATTTAAGGCTACAACTTGATGACAAATACTTGATAAAAGAATGAAACAAAATATTATCAAAGGCAGATTTACAGAGACTTTAAAAACCATTTATCCCCCAATTTTATCACAGCGTGGAAGCGTGGACGCTGTGTCCATTTTATTTTATCCAAAGTAGTGCATCATTCTGAAGTGGGAGGAATAGTTTAGGTCTTTTGTGTATGCAAAATAGCTGCATTTAGCTCTACCAAGCTCTTTTACAACTTTTGCAAGCTTCCTTGACCCAGATAAGCAAAGCCTTCCCGCAGCATAACGCTTCCACCACCATATTTTACATGGATGCTACATAGATGATAGAGAAAAAGACGATTTTTCATCCCAAATATTAGTATCAGGTTTTTCAGTTTTAGCTTCATTACCATTGTGAGTGGGAACCACCAAATGGCATGTTTTACATGTGTATTATTCAGGTAATGAGTCCATTACCAAATTAATTGACTACCGTTTTAGTAATCGATAAATCTGTGTTAATTTGATTAATCGCTTCAGGCTTTCTCTGAAATTTTACGGCTGATTAATATCTATTTTTTCACATCTACAAAGCAGGTCACAGTGCTTCAAATTGCAGCTTTTAATGTCCCACCTTTTCACTACAATTCTCCTCTTGCTCCAATTTTTACACCAATATGTTGAGCAATCTGTTACCTGGAAGTAACCGATTTGTTTTGTATAGCTGGGGCGATTGCTGCTTGCTCTGGACTTAGTCTGTTACAATGCACAGCGCCTCCTTATGTGTGCCAAATTCCTCCTGGATGCTCCTCCAACAGTGCTCCACTTTAGCTGGATGTGCATGTTTAAATAGGTTTGCAGCTCTGAAAGACTTTTTATTTTCAGATGGTGACGTATTACAAGCATTTTATTATATTGTTTCAAAAGGAAAGCCTTCTTTGAACCTCTTTCCACCTCGCCTGTTTGCTCTGTTCCTTGACCTCTATGCCTCTTGTTCACCAATTTTCTCTGACAAATGTCTGAGGCCTTCACATGACATCTGTATTTAGGATATTTATAGATTAAATCATAATAAGGTAAACTTTATTTACTAATTAGATTATGTCTGAAGGGAAATGGTTGCAGTGGATTCTCTTTAAGGTAATAGGAGTGAGTTGTCCTGAATACTAATGCTGGCTATACCTTTTAAGAACTGTTTTTGCACTAAAAAGATGAGGACTTATTTCTTTTTTTCCTTTACTTCCACTAGTTTTTTATTTTTCTAGAACACATCAAAGCAAACTCTGAAGCTTCTGGTAGTAAAGTGACATAAGGTTCAATGATTAAATTTTTTTTCAGGGTCCTGCGGCTGGATGTAAAGCTTAAATGTACCAGATTACCAATAAAATCAATGCGATAAAAAGTTAGTGTGGGATATATAACTTAATAACTGAGCATGAAGTTTTCAAAAATTCAGTAAGTGTTGCAAATATAATGGAGAATTTCCCTTTCAAACCACACAGAAATCCAAGCATTTCTTAGAATATATTTCAATAAAATCCAGTTAAATGTCCTCAGATAATCCTGCAGGAATGGTGCCCGCTTCAACTCACCCAGCAGGTCTGCCCCTTCATCAACATCCCCTATGAGCCCAGTGCCCGCAGACGACAGCTCCTCAAACAAGGAGTCTGTGTTCCGATCAAACGCCATGTTTTCAATACCTTTCGTTGGTGTGCTGAAAGAGCAGCATTGCAAGAAACCATAATGTTTTAGTGCACAGAAAAAAGCTGATCCAGCAATTAAACAGAGGGTGTTTTCATATATTACCTGCAGGGTTTATATCCAATCAGATCCATGTCCAGCTCAGGAGTGGACTCGATAATATCCTGCACATCTGAGTTTTCTTCGTTTTCAGGCAAACCTACATGAGGCACAGAGCCAAAAAAAATATGTCCTGTTAAACACTAAAAATGTTTCTTAAGGTAATGCCCTTAAATTAAACGCAACTGATTTTCGACATATTGTCTTCATCCAGTCTGACTATGCTTGAGCTAGATTGCAAAGAAACCGTAAACATTTCTGTCTGTAGATGTGCAAAGCTGAGAGAGTTTAAAAACCCTCTCATTAAAGAAAATTATAAATCACAAAAGTTATTCAAATAACACAAAACTGAAAAAGTACTAATAAACAGAACTTTTAAAAAAAATTATCATTTATTAAAATAAAAACATTGATTTTGAATTTTTGTAGAAAAATTGTTCTGAAAAAAACTAAGAATTCCAGACAAAGTAAAGTACTTTGCTCATGAACAGTGAGACAATAACCCTGCCAACAGGTGCCAAAGTCTATATATACAGTGAGGAAAATGAGTATTTGAACACCCGCCTATTTTGCAAATTCTCCCACTGAGAAATCATGGAGGGGCTGAAAATGTCATAGTAGGTGCATGTCCACTTTGAGAGACATCTAAAAAAAAAAATCAGAATATATGACTTTTTTACAATTTATTTGTATTATACACCTACAAATAAGTATTTGAACACCTGTCTATTGTCTATCAGCTAGAATTCTGACCCTCAAAGACCTGTTAGCCTGCTTTCAAAATGTCCACCTCCACTCCATTTATCATGCGACATTAGATGCACCTTTTTGAGTTCATTAACTGCATAAAGACACCTGTCCACCCCATACAATCAGTAAGAACTACTAACATGGCCAAGAGCAAAGAGCTGTCAAAAGACAATAGAGCAAAAACTTGTACACTTCCACAAGGCTGGAAAGGGCTGCAGGGCAATCATTAGAAAATTGAAGAAGCTAAACATGACTGTCAATTTCCCTCAGACTGGGGCTCCATGCTAGATCTCACAAACATCCTTTATTGTTCAAACTGAAATAATTTAAAGCCTAATTTAAAATCAGATCAGACAGTCAGCTTGCAGTAAAAGGTTTATGCAGGATATAAAGCTCTGACGAAAGTAAGAGGCCACAGTGGAACCAAAAAAAAAACATGGAGGAAGTCTGCGTAGCTGCTTCTATCCCAGCTGTTTTGTCAAAATTCACAATTTCTCTTCAAAAGAGGGAAAAACAAGGGTGTAAAAGTGTAAATTGTGGTTTTCCATTCCATCTGCTGCTATTTCATTTGTTACCATGATTGGCTAAAACCAGACTTTGCTAGGCGGGCTCAAGGTGTCACTTCACCCAATCAGCTTGAAGGTTCTAAACTAAACCTGAGTGCTACTCATTATTAATCTGGAGTGCCAGTTGACTTTTCTTTTTGTTTTCCTACGTTTCTTTTATCATGTAAAGAATTTTGAATCTCCTTGCAACTGAAATATGCTTTATATTTATAGACTTGCATTGCCTGGAGTTACTCAAGCAGCTGTCATATTGCAGAAAATTAATTAAATGGGGCAAATCCAAATTAAGTTCTATTCAATTGAAAAATACCTTATTAATCCCAAAGATAAATTAAGTGTTAAAGTAATTAAATCAGCTTTCTTCAACAACTTCTGGTAGATGTGGATAGCTGCTGACAGGAAATATCTTTTGTAGTGGTCTGTCTAAAGAAAAACCACCGTAATCAGATTTTTTTAAGGGGAATTATTCTTTTTTAAGACTTTGGATATGTGAACTTACCCACTGATATGGATCTGGTACCTGGTGCAGCCTGCACCTCTGTACTCTTACAGTTCCCATCTTCTTCCATGTCTGAGGCTTCGGTCGACATTCCTGTTGCCGATTTGGAGCCAGTGATGTCCGACAGTTCATCCTTTTATGAAACACATCATTACTTAGAGACAGAGCTTTTAAATGATTTAGATAAAATGGCTAATAAAGCCAGATATTATAAAGTAAAAGGACAGATCATGGTCATAAAACACAGAATAATATTCCTTTTTTTTTCACAACTTGACAGCATATGACTTAGGAACTCAAAGTTACATGGAAGTCTTGAAAACAGAGAAACCAAAAGGGACTGCTGCACAAATACAAAGTTGACGGACCGCAACACAGACTATGGAGGGCTTAACACAACATCCATAAGCAACAGGACGGAAGGAATCTACACAACAGGATGAATCTACACAACACAAACCCACAGAGGATAATATACTAAAAGCTACTCCAAATGAAACCCAATAAAATCAAAGTTAACTGGTACAAAACTACAGCATTAGGAGGTTGAAAGGAAGCTTTAAAGGTCTGTTATGGTATTAAAGCAAGATGGTTGATGTACATGAATAAAGCACATACACAAAGCAAAATGAAATTTCCAACACATGAATTTGAAATGGTATGAAAAGAGGCCTCATTCAACCAGGCTGTTGTTCACTCTAACACATAAATAATTGAGCACTTCCCATATGTGCACAAATGTTTTGCATTAAGATGAAGGCTTGGTTGAATGTGGCGCAGCACAGCACAGGGGGTCTATGAGGTGATGGTCTTTGAACGATGCATCTCTTTGGCCAAAGATGAAGCTACTGCACTGAAACCCAGGCATGCATGCAAATAATGAACTGTGCCACCAGCAGCCAGAATGCAGACACTCATCCAACTACCTTGCAGTCGTCTGCCAGTGAATTCCCCCAAGTAGGGTCCCGCGCACTCTTACCCTCCCTTTCCTTTGGGGGCTCGGCAAAGTCCAACTGCTACGGGAGGGAGAGTAAGAATAAGGCTTGCATGTGCAGAAGCAGTTCAGCAGGAATGCAGACACTCAAAAGTGTGTATGACTGTGAAGTGAAATGGATAGGTGCATTCATGACCCTGTAAGCCTGGGCAGCCGCTTAAGTGGATAACTGTTGTTCTTCCAGCTCAGATCGCAGGGACCAAACAGTTTTTGTTTTAGGGTGATCTAAGGAAACTTTATTAATTTTAAATATGTAAGCCATGCACTGTTCTCTACTCAATAATGTTCATAATTAATGAAAAGGACTTTTAAGGCTGATGGAATTGTAACATTTTTTACTTATCTATAGGTCCACTAAAAGTTCTTATGGGCGCTAATTTCTAAACAGTTTCGGTGTAAAATCAATAATAAAACTTAATAAATTGTATCCAAAGAGTAATATATAGAGAAAGGAAAATTAAAATCATCATTTTCCAGATGATTGAGAATTTCTAATGCCTGAACATCTGTTTTTCCTCTCTCCTAGTTGTCTGTAAAACAATAAAAAAGAAAACCCTCACATTTTAGACTATCATCATTGAATTTCTATAAGGCAATTCAAAATTTCAACAATTATAAATATATTTTTATTGACGTTTGCACTCTGCAAACACAAAGCTGAAAAAATTTACTTGATTTATTCAAAATAATATAAAAGATCATTGTGAGAAAACCCTATTTTCCTATGTTTCTGAAAGTTGCACAGTAAAAGCTAAAACAACTTAGCCTCTTTTAAGATGTTTTTTTTTTATCAAACTCCCTGCTGTTCCCTTTTTTTTCCCGAATGAATATTATTAACATTGACTAACAAGCAGCGACATACATTTAATCAAATGCTACTAATCTGTCCTTAGAATACAAGATAAACCAAATAAATAAATAAATCTGTTTAAATAGAAGCTCCCTCATTCATATAAAAAAATCCCCAGATTTTATAGAAAACATCCTATGATTACATAACCTCTGTTAGGTTTGCAGCTTTTTCTCTCTGTGACTGAATGCTGCCATCCATCAGCATCGTTCCCATAATTCCCTGCTCTGCAGAGCTGATGTCCCATTTTTAACAGCATGAAAAAAAAACAGCAGCAGGATGAAACAATGCTGCCACCCTCTCAGTCCCTACTCTCATAATCTCTGCCAAGAAAAATATGTAATAACAATACAGCATTATCTAAATAAAAATACATAAATAAAAAATGAGCATCAGCCTAACACCTGCACCTTACAAGTGTTTTAACAAATGTGTGGAGCGATAAACTAATTTTACAAATAATTAAAAATTATCATTAAAAATCTATTTACACAGGTTCTATATTCTTATACTGAAATTGGTGGGAGAACCAGAAACAAAAATTTATTTGCAAAAAAAAAATGAAGACCCTGTAAATTAATATTTGCAGTTAAGCAAACTTAATGGAGAATATTCACAAATATTAACCGCTGCGTGACTAATTTTTTAACTTCCTTGCTGCCATTGAAGAGGAAGCTTGAATATTCATCAGGGCCTTAAAGGGCCTGATAACAGAGGGGGCCTTGTCAGAGACCCCCTCAAATGGTAAACAGTCTTATCAAAGGCCTTCTTACTCTTTGGGATCTCAGGCCAAACTCATCACTCAGACGGCTTCATTGGAAAACCTGAAATAACTAAAAATGTGGCTAAATCTAAAGTATTTATACACATTTTTTTTTTTTTTTTAGATGATGAATGCATGTTATCTGATGAAAAATATTAATTACAACCCCATAAACTGATAATAGGCTTTGTTTTAAGGTATAGAGGACAATCTTTTATTTCCAGGTGAATCATCTAAATAAGTGGTCCTATTAATTGTCAATCATTCTGGTGACATGTTTATATAAGGCCGTCCTACGTGCTCGTCCCCATTAGCTATCTTTTTCTGCGCATGCGCACTTTCAGCCATATATCTGTGGTGAGCTACAGTTTCAGACAGTCATTAAGCTCACCTTTCTCACAGCGGCTCTTGAAAATGGCCGAGGGTCATAAGAGAAAAAGTGACATGGATATGGGATGTCACCATAGGCTGTCGCTATCCGACAGCAGCGACTTATAACAAAGATGGCGCAGGCTCCGCGCAGTAGAGGAGTAGTTAAGTGACCAATGGGGAGCAAAAAGCAGTTATTATCTGTCCAAACGGACAGTTAACTGAATTCACTAGAAAGTCCACTCTATAGTCCCCGCTCTATATAGTGATTGAGGGGTTTAGGGGTTAGGGTGGACGTTCGGGCACAGTAAGCTTGAGAGCTATGAGCTATGAGAAGGACAAGTTTTAAACAGAGCGTGCACGAGGAGAAATAGGCTCGTGCATTCTATCACAAGCGTTTAATAGGCGTTCCCTCTCGGGAGCAGGAACAGAATTGTGCATATATGCATTTCTTTTTAAAGTGGAGAGTTTGCTAAAATCCTCCACGATACCTTTAAGGTGGTATTTATTTTTAGCCTTTCAGGTGTTTAAAACAATACCTGACAGGCTTTTCAAAGGCCTATTTCCAAATGCCTCCATGAGTCAGAAGCCTGATGTAGAGTCAGCTGAAGGAAGCATGAAATTATTCTCTGATAGAAAGATCCAACCAAAACCAGGCCATTGGTGAGCCACCAGTATACGAACCTTCAGACTAGTGTTGGAGCGTGATTGAGCTCCATCAGTGAACCTCCAGCTCTCTGCGCCCGGTGTCTCCGCTCTGGTGTGGGCATCAGGAATTATCAGAGAAGGTCCACCAGAGGAGGGAAAAATCCCCAAAGAAAGAGGCCGCTCTCTCCTATGGAGAAATTAAAATACAGGTATCAAGCCAAAAAAAGCAAAGAACAATTTACTGGTATATTATCTTCATTTGATGGTGGTTCCTATCTACAACCAAACAATGCAAAGGGTTTGCATCACCTGACCCGGCTTCCAGGTGTTGATTCAGACGTCTCACTGATCTGCTGCATTTTGATCCTCTCCACATGCTCCATGTAATTATGGATCATCTGTACAAGTAGAGGCAAAATGCTCAAGAGAAGAAGATCTCACAGGGTCTTATTTATGGTTTCCTCTTTCTTTCACCTTACCTCCGAGTGCCGCTGATGCAGAGCGTTGTATTCCTTTTTCAGTTCTAGCTCACGCTCCTCTAACCTGCTGACTGAATCGGACAAAAACAATAAACTTTTAGTGTCAGACGGTTGTTTATAAAAATGGAGAACAAGGAAAGTAAAGATTATATACAGAAAACGAAAAGATAGGAATGAAAATCTCCAAACAAAAATGTTAGGTTAATAGTTTTTTAAGCTTTAGCATGATTGCTGACTTCAAAAATCGTAGAAATTTAAGCTTGTATATTATTTAACTTTGCAGAGTAAGCTTTTTGGGGAAGCAGAGCGAATAAAATCAGCAAAAAGGATTTATGTGTTGGTGGGGGGGAGTACAAATATACATAATCCCCTATTAGTACATCAGCTTTAGACTGAAGCACACAGTGAGCTGCTGTTGCAGACAGGCCTGCTGAGGAAAGCCTGAATACTATCAGTTACAGCAGCTTCAGCTTTTACATGCTGCCACGCAATTTCTCACCAGAGTGTGGATTTTTGACACATGGAGGGATTTTATTTAATGGTTTGACTCATCAAATCTGAAGAACTAGTCTTGAACTGAACATAAACAACAACCAGAATCAGTCTGGGAGAAATAACTAAAAAAGAAATAATATGGATTTTAATAAAATTATTTTTTAATGCTGATCATATTCACTTTCATTGGACAAACTTTAGCTTTGTTTTCAGCACATTTTAACATAGATATTTAAAATTATATAGGCTTATTAACAGTTTGCTTCACTTCACCCTCCCATGGTTTCTTCTAGCTGTGTACAAACCAGACAGCGTTTGTTTTGGCAAAGCAGCTTTGTCTTTGCTCCGTCTTCTAGCTCTCGCTCGCAGAGAAGTATGTGAGTGAGTAGTACAGGTGTACAGCACTGATACCCACTCTAGTCTTTCATGGAAATTTTCATTTGGACATTTTTTTAAATCTTTCTGGTTGATAAAACCTGGGTTTATTTTGTATTTGTGTCTGTACATAGCAAAAATCCATCCAGCCCTAGTTTATGGTATTTCTTTATCTGGGAAGTGAAATTTAAAACATTTTCAAGTACCTCATGCAATGCATTGGCGGACCACTAGGGCTACTAGTGGCGCTGGTTGGGAATCACTGGTTTAGAGGACACTCTGTAAAGAAATATAATCGTTCCAGAAGGCAGTTCCCATTTTAAAACTATGGAATCAGAAACACGTCTCCTAAATTAAAATAAGGTTTAGTATTAGGACTGAAACAATTATTTGGATTAGTTGTGATCAGAAGATTACTGATATAATTACCAATTAACTACTAGTGGTATAATTGTTAGCTGGAGCTTATGGACTCTAAATGATGCCATTTACAGAGAGAATAACAGACAGAGAAGTCATAAACAGAGATTGAGCGATAGAGGTTTTTTTAAAGCTGATACAGATTATTTTGACATCAGTCTATCTAATCCCTGATAGGAGCTGCCAGTTTTTTAGGGGGGACTATTTTTTAGTCCGATATTGTTTTTTTCTTTCTCCACTTACATGATTAAAAATGACAATGATAACAGATAGAAAATAAAGCAATTACCCGCCTGCAGATGTATCGGTCTGTCTCTGATATTTAAGCCAAAACAGCCTTGTTTTAGCTGATTTTACCTCTAAAAATCTCCTATTATGCACCATACCATGGCTAATTATAGGGTCGATTGAAAGAAATAGTAAAAAGACTAATCTATTAGTAAGTTAACCATTAGTTGCTGCCATATTTAATTAGCACCATGCATTCCAAGCCCCCACTCACAGCTATGGTGGCTCTGGAAGTTCAACATCCTGCAACATCTTCTTGCTTATAAAAAAAAAAGGGTAACCACATCCTCTGAACTACTATTTCTATTTCCATTGAAAACTGGGAATACGTCATCTTTGCAATCAGTGAATGCACTGATCAAATTCTACATCAAACATTCTACACATTGTTGCCTATTATACCCAACATGTCTCTGACACATGCTTTATTTAAGAAGAAATACAATATTCATCATAGTAGAAACACCGTTGGTGGAGAAACTGAAATCTGACCATAAATATGGAGAAAGTTTAGTTTAAAATGAAATATGCAGCCATACAGGATATTTACAAAAAAAAAACCTAAAGGACAGGAAACTAAGTCATTTCCTTCTTCTGTTTGAATGCTGTTACTAAAACAATGTTTGTATTGTGATGTCTTATAATATATGTAAGAAGTATCTCTTTCCATCCTGATGAGATGTTTTTAGGTAGCATTTTTTTTTTTATGCCCAAAGTCATTAGATCCCATTTAGGAGACACAGTGATTGACAAAATAAATCACCAAAACATGGGGGAAATCTTGCAGAAATAAAGAAGATTTGAAAAACTTTAGGCAGTTCTCAGAGACCTTGGGAATGTGTGTTGACTATTGCCTTACTGACTACTGTACAAAGTAGCTGTGGACCATGGTTCAAAGCAATCAAGTTATACAGCATGTAGGAATTGATGAATGATTTACCACAGGGAAGGACAGTGATTAAGGTCCAACCTATGAATGACTGGACTGTGAGTGCAATGAAAATATTTCAACTTTAAAGCTCTGTGAGTCAAGGAGAATTACGTATTCAAAAATGTGAAGAGGGGGTGTCGTCTTTCTCTAAGCTCTAAGTGAATGACTCACTTTAACCAGAGCTGTTGCTTTGTGCACAACTCAGTCTGCAAATCCAAGTTTTTCACCAAGACATCCTCTTAATCCAGTGAGATGAGTGCTAATGCACCGCTGCATAATGGAAATCATACCAATCCCATAATCCTATATATAACACTCCGCCCAAACATATGATGCACTGCACAGGCATAAAATACCTAGAGGATGAAAAGATCCTCATAATTGTTGCAATGGCATATTTAAAATCGAAAGATGAAAAGCTTGTTATTAGATATAAGCAATACAATACAAGAACATCTGATCAAGAAAAAGATGGAGCTATCTTTAATCTGTTTGATGTGCCTCAGATCCTATATTTGGAAAAGAAATCAAGACTTGGAGGAAAGAGATGAAAAAAGAGACGGCGGGAGGAGCTGATGAAAAAAAAACCTCAAACACCTTAAAGCTAAGGCTGCTAAAGTTAACACATAAATGAACCCTTCTTTCTTTTTTTTACAGCACGAATACAAAAGTCGGGGAGACATTACCACCTGTCCCAGCTCCTGTCCACCTCTATATACAGACTAGAGAGTGAAAGAAAAAGAATGAACCTTCCAGGTTTTTACTTTTGTAAAATAACAAGTATAGAAATGATTGCACAATCAGTTATTCACTGAAGCAGCTGTGAACTGCTTTGATCTCAGGATGGGAACCGAATTTCTATACTTTTATTGGTAACAACTGAGTTCCATCGGTACTATCAAGTAACAATTCATGTAAAATCAAACTGTAACATGTTTCAGTCCCTAAACGCATCAATGTGAAACTTGAAGTTCTATAGAGGACATGAACGCAGCATTGCACAAACAAGAGGGTGCTGACGTCTGAAGCCACTGCTAAAGTAAATAAAGCAAGTACAGCTGATAGAAGGTGCTTGAAAAGTGGGCTCAATACTTGAGCTCTGAGGACGTTTCCAGTTAAGGTCAAGATTTTTCAAAAGGTTGAAGGTTGCACAATTTTCAACAGGCTCAGATCCACAGCTACAACTCTTGCATTGGCACGGTTAGCATCCGTTAGCGGCTCAGTACCTGTTAGATCCATTCTAATTAAAAAATGATCTACTCTGAACAGCATTGTTAATGCCTACTAAAAAAGGTTTGGTTCTCAAAATATCCTCCTAAAATGTATTTCTCAGGGGGAAAATTTGCCATGATTACATGATTACTGCCATGATTACTTCCTCTGTAAAGCTAGAATGTAAAAAAAAGTTTTCTTTGATAGAAGTACATGAATAAGAGTAAGTCTGGATATTATTTTCATTGGAAGCACGTTTGTTTATTTATTTCCCTGTGAAATATTCTGGATAATTGCCCTGTTTGGTATTGCTGCAACCATAATAGACCTGCATAATTTCATAATAAAGCATTTGCATGATGCATTTTACAGCACATGGAATCAAAGTGTTCATGTCTGTGTGGGTGGGTGCTTACTCTGGTCTGCATAGTTCTTGATTTTGAGTTCCAGTTGCCGTGACTGAGACTCCATCCGGTCCACATTGTTCTGTAGGTCCTTCTTCTCCTGCTCATGAGTGTCTTCAAACTCGATGAATTTCTACATGAAGCAAACACAGACACGCAAACAAGGCTAAGTTTTGCAAACTAGAAATCACTTTAAAGCCTTCGTATCTCTTTTAGCATGCACGGTTTGACAGGTGAGCTCTGCTTTGATTTCCAGTTGATAAAAAGGATGCACTGCAGGATAAGTTGCTGTTTTAATCACCCATTACATATTTCTATCCTAAACGTCTCAAACTCCTTAATCTGGGTCTTATACTTTGGTTTCTATCAATTCCACTTTGGGCGGACCCCCGGATGGGAAAGAATGTTGTCTGTATGTGTCCACTTCCTGTCCAGCTGAGCAGGCCGAGGCCTCGGTGTGGTCTCCCATCCTCCTGCTGGCACTTTACTCTAGCTTTAAAGTACAAATACCTTCAAATGCTTGCCATATTATGAGTGCAGAGTAAATCAATTTAAAGGCACACTGCAGACTTTTTGACCTAAAGTGTTGATGTATATGAGTTATTATAACTGATTCCACAGGCCAATATACGGCGCTTGACACTATCAATTTTATCGGTGAGGCTCCCGCCCTAAAATACCGCCTATGTAAGAAAACATGCACTGACTTTGACCAGGTCATGTGACCTGGTAGAACGTACCGATTTACGGCCACAGACTTTTATATAGTCATGTAACTATTTTTCCACCAGCAGTGTCTGCTCCTAGTATACAGTAATATATCTTTGTTATTATTGATGTTTAGTAGAAGCAAATGAAGGGCACAGAAAGCTAGCAGGTTGTGGCTGTTCACTGCACTCCACCGCTGGTCCTCCGTGCCGAGCGGCCAGTTGTGCTCTCCAGAGAGCAGCAGCGTGTGCTCCTAGTATACAGTTAAATATCTTTGCTATTATTTCCAATGATTAGTAGAAAAGCAGGCAGAGAAAGCTAGCAGGCTACAATAAAAAGCTAGCAACCCCACAACCTAAATGTGTAAATCTCAGGCATTCCGCGTAAACGACTGCTTCCCACTTTTATAAAACAAAACCAGTAGAACATGGTAGTGATAATCTTTTACGTCCATGAAACTGTTTCATCAGCACAGCTGATTCTGATCAATTCAGTTCAGCAAAAGCCTGTTAATCAGCAATCAGTAAAATTCAGCTGTGTGAGAGCAGGGAAACCTCTAAGACACGGGAGGCTGGCCGGCTGACTGTTTACTTTTACAGCACTGCGACACTAGCGCCCCTAGTGGCCAAATATTTCACGGTGTGCTTTTAAATTGCTATACAAATAAAAAGGGTCACATTTAAAACATTTTAAGACTGGAATCAAATCTAAGATCCTACTGCTGGTTTTGAAAATAAACCAAAACCAATGCCGGTTTACTTGTTTTGTTAGCTTCATTCCTGAAGGTCCAAAAAAAAAAAAAAAAAAAATTCTCTTATCTACTTATCTCTGCTTCTTCAAATGCATTTGTTTATCAGATTAAACCAAATCAAAATAGGATCAGATAGGTAATAATCCTGCAGTAATAATCCAGTGAATAACTAGCTTTAAATCCTAAATGGACACTTTGTGGTAGCCCACTTTATCACTACAAATAAAGCTATAAATCAATAGGTAAAAAGCACAAAATTTTTTTAAAAAGCTGCATTCAAGTGGAGGCAGCATCCTTTCTTGTAGTTCTCTAAGGGTCCATTGAGGCTTGAAACAGAAATAGTGAGACAAAGAAAAAAAATGCCAAAATAGAGCCTGGAAGATGTTTGTAGTTCGACAAAGGAGGAGATGACCTGGAAGTAACCAGCAGGCCTGTGATGTGTTCCTTTCTGCTTTCTCTTCAACCACCAGTCAATGGATAATCTAAAAATGGCAGTTTTATGATATTAAATTATTTGTGTGTGGATTTAATTTAACATCTGTGTGTTATTGTGTCTTCTGTCTCCCTGCTCCTTAGTGCCTCAGTATATTAACTAGCAGCGCTGGGCCAGTTATCCGGCTGTGACAGAGCAGTGGGCCAAAGACAAACGCTGCGGCAGACGGTCAGAGTCACATCAAATCAGCGTTCACACAAAAACAGAATCCCAGTGAGGATACTATAAACAAACATGGGCACAAGTTGGGAATTATCCTTTCCTAAACACATGACACACATGAACAGTTATCCTGCAAATGTGCTGTAAAGAAAATTAGCTTCCCATTTTAAAATATACACATTATTTAATTCCTTTCTCTAAATTCTAAGCTTTACTGTAACTGCCTTATATTGCTTTTTAAAGAACCAATCAGTCAAATACCAACAAGAGTTTCAAAAATACAACAACACATTTGTAAATGCTAGGGTTTAAAGTAAACATATGCATTAGGGAGGATCCTGAAAAAAGTGTACAGGTAAGTTAAAAAAAAGCACAATTTTACTGCTTAATTTTACAACTACAAGCAACTTTTGGCAATTTTCCAGCTTTTTTCACCACTTATTAATATAACAATTAAATACTAACAAAAATATCATAGTTTACAGCAACTGCTTAGGAGATGGAAGGATAGTGCTGAGATTTATATCTAGTATTTTTTTTACTTGAAGGCTGGATGGATGTTTTTCATTGAGATATAACAGTAACAACATTGTAAGAAAGATCAACTGATAATCCCAAATCCTACACTGAACAGATTTTACAGTCGTTGGTCTGTTTTCCCAAATACAACCTCATAACTTCTTATTTTTTGGTTGTTTTGTGCCCGATCTTCTTTTATGTAATCATCCTCATCATCATCAATAAAAAAAATTAAGGAGATTTACACAATCTGCTGATGTTCTGCACAAAAGATACGCATCATATGAGTCAAATAAATATCAACCACCAGAGGGAAGCTTAAAGTTTATTGTTTGATCAGGAATCCTCATAACTTATTTCGTATAAGACGTAACAAGCTCTATATTATTAGAAAGGAATGATATGCAGGTACAAGCTGGCGATGACTTAAAATTAGGGTTGAAAGAAATAATCTCATTTATCGTGATTAATAGATTATTAAAATAATTGTCAACTAATTTAGTAATCGATTAATCATTAATTGAAGTATAGAGACTCTAAAACAGGCCTTTAGCTGACAGAGCAACCCACCTTGACGAGCAGTTATACCACAAAAGTAAAAAAAATATGTAAACATTTTGCATTTAAGATTAAAAAACTTTTTCGTCTGTCAATATGTTCCATCCAGAACTCGTCAAGTGGAAAAGTTTTTGTTTCACCTGGTATAATTTCATAAAAAGTCTTCTTTAAGGAACTTTTGCTATCAGATTATTAATCAAAAAATGGAAAAAATAACACATTAATCGATTTGCAAAATAATGGTTAGTTGCAGCGCTAGTTGAAATACCCCACAGTTTCCAAATAAATTAGCTGCATTTCAAATTGAATCTCTCTTTAGATATATTCCAGACCTTCACTGTATTCAAGTTTGCAAGATTGAAAAACTGCTTTTCTTTTTCAACTATAAATCATAATTTCAGAGTGTTATTCTATCAATAGCCAATGTTACACATATTATATTATATAATCATATAATTATAGCATCTGATAAAAGTTTTAAACAGAAAGTTTGCTGCAGTTCAAAAATAGTCCTCATTCAAATTAAAATGAATACATTTAATAATGACATATAGATGCATGATTTCAGATTTATTTATATAATTTTCAGTATTGATCAAAGTTACACCATGTGTTTTCCAAACGGCTGTGAGCAGAGGGTTCATATCCCAACAGTCTGAAGCAATGAGTAGGTGTGTGTTTCTGCATGTGCACCTAGTGATAAACAAACCAGTTCAGCTCCAGTCACTACAGAAGTGTATTGCATTGACCAAAGAAAAAAAAAAACAGCTTATCTCATAATAACGAGATTGGTATCTCGCAATTATGAGATTTAATCTCTTAATTATGAGATCTTTTTTCATAATTACGAGATAAAACATAATTACGAGATAAAATCTCATGATTTCAAGATACCGATCTCTTAATTTTGAGATCCTGATCTCAACATTATGAGATAAGATCTCATAATTATAAGATAATATGTTATATTTAGGAGATCAGGAAGGACAGTCATGATATTCTACATGAAACTTGAACAATGTGTGGGTTGTCGGTTTAATGTGTTTTCATTTTGGAGATCTTTTCTCTTAATTACGAGATCATATGTCGTAATTAGGAGAAAAGGTGTCATAATTACAAGATAATAGCTTATAATTACAAGATACTGATCTCGTAATGATGAGATAAGCTGATTTTATTTTTCCTTTGGTGAATGCAATATAATGTCAGTCGCCCATTGACTTCTTAAAGCAAAGATGGTGGTTAAGAGTCTATCAGTAGCCAATTAACACTATTATTATCAAAATTTTCTCAGGTCAAAACTGGAGTATGGGAGGACTTTAACTAAAGTTATTTAAAGAAAAATGTTTCTAATGCTCTGAAGGCCAACAAATTAATTATTATCAATTAATTATTTATTAATTGATCCTAAGCGCAGTCTGAAATGAATGCAAGTTGTTTAATGCTTTTAAAATTTTGTTTACCTGCATTCTGACTGTTTGTTATTATGGAGACTTTGTGCAGAAACATCCATAATATTCCCACTTAATTCATGTTTAGATAATTTGAATGTGTAAAAAAAAAAATGAATGGGCAGATTCAGAATGAATACATACATTTAAGAGATAGATGTGATTTATACATCTATCAGTCTGTTTGTGTTTGATGCAGTCAGACAGCCTATGATGTAGAAAAGTAAGGGCCCAAAATGCTGAGTCACCTGTGACTCCACAATCTGATGCAATGAGCAAGCAGGTCCATCTGATGGGTTTACATATAGGGTTATGGATGTGCTTAGTGTATCTACTCACTAATTACAGTTTTATTACACTGGTTATTCACCAGAAGAACCAGCTGCTGAGTCTGGTGTATTGTTTACATCTTCAGTGGGCTCCGTGGATGCTGCCACGCCACGTGTGATTAGGTGGATGCTGAGGGTTGCTAAGGCTCACCTCCTCTGCGTGTTTCCTCAGCGCTTTCTCCCGCTCATACTGGGTGATGAGCTGCTCGTTGTCCTCCTTCAGCAGCTCCAGCTCCACTTCGTGCTCCTGGTTCTCCGCGAACACGGAGTCCAGGTTCTCCAGCACGGCCACCACCAGCGGCATCAGCTCCTTCACCACGTCCTCGTCGTACTTTCCGATGAGTCTCTCGAACTCGCGGTAGATGGAGCTGGCCAGGCCCGAGACCCGCTCCGACATCATCGCAGATGTCCCCGGGTCGTCCTGGTACACAACCCCGTCTTCCAGCTCCATTTTTAGTCCTTATTTCCTTTCAGCTAAAAGGACCAACCGGCTTGGGGTTTATCCACCTTACCCCTCCACTATGAAGGCCTATATCGCCTAAATAAAAATATTTTTTCTTTAAACATACGCAAACATTTGGGACGGATAAAATAATACAAAGTAACACAAGCTACGTGGATATCTTCCTATTTATTCCTCGCTTGTCTCGTGCTGCATTCAAGAGCTCCCCGAAAGTTTGGACTTCCCAAGCATCTTTCGACAAAACACCACAGTTTATGGTCAAGAAAACACTACATATTTTTTTTCTCAATTGAAACGCAAAATAAACTTATTGCTATTATTCATACATACATACATAACTTACAATTCAACAATATATTTAGATATAAGTTACTCAAACAAACAACCTATGATTTCATCGCTTTCATTTGTTTATATTTTCGGCTGAGTGACATTTTAGAATAGACTTACACTACAAGTGGAACAATTTGATCTTTTTTTTATCAGGGATATGGAAACGTCCTAATTACTATGAGAATAGTACGTTTATGTACGAAGGGCCTATTTACTAAAATGTTCAGCGGTCCGTGAACCCACCGTCAAACAGCTGAGTTGTTGACCGGATCACGTGATTGCGTCACATCACGCTACAAACGTGGACGTTTTTCGATGACATAGAATTGCACTTATTTTATCTTCTGTTAAAATAAATAAATAACTAAATAAAGTACAGGCTATATATATAGATTACAAAGTAAAAAGTCTCGTCATATCTTTTCTTTAAATTTTTTCTTTTATGTCCACAGAGTAGGTAGAATAGAACACAGAATTGTGCAACAAGGTTATTTATTTTATCTTTTGTATAAAAAAAGGGGGGGGAAAAGTACAGGCTATATATATATAGTTTACAAAGTAAAAAGTCTCTACATATCTTATCTTACATCTTTTTTTCTTTTATGTCCATAGAAAAGGTAGAATAGGACACATAATTGTACAATAAGGTTATTTATTTCATCTTTTGTAAAAAAAAAAAAAAAAAAGTACAGGCTATACATATAGTTTACAAAGTTAAAAGTATCTTCATATATTTTCTGTCCATAGAATAGGTACTTTTTGAAGTTCCTAATGTAATCCAATTGTCTGACCGCCCTATGTGTTATTAGTGTTCGCCTTGTAGATGATAACGGCATGATGCTTAAAAGCTCTGAGCAAAAGATATTTTGTCTGTTAAAATAGTAAAGAATGTAAATAAACTTTATTGTCCCTTAATGGAGAATATTAGATCTACTATAAGTAAACATTTAGGCGACTACAAGCAGTAAACATGCAACCACTAATTATAACTATATATATATTTATATTATATATATTAATTATATTAATATATATTATATATATTAATTATATTAATATATATTATATATATTAAGAGATCCTTTAAAGTAAGGTCAAATACACAATTGGAAAAAAATGTTGTGCATAATAAAACGTTGAAACAAAAAGAAAATTACAGTGACATCATATTTCTGCTAATGCAGTTTACCCTTTTCATACAAATAATAAATATAATTGATGATCAATTGTTTTTTATGAACATTGTTTCTATAACAAGAAAAAAGCAGCATCACAAAGGTTGGTCTGCTGGGACATAAACTCAATGAATTTATAATAGCCTTATATATGCCCCTCCAATAAAAAGGCTTAAATAAACTTATCAGCATAAATTTTATTTCAATTTCGATATTTTTTATGATTTATTTAAACCACTTTCATAATTAAAAATGTAATCATCATTCAGGAAATAGAGCCTAGTAGGAACAGCTGAACTAATTTATACCAATCTATGTAAATCATAGAAACTGACTCAAAAGTACACCTCAATAATATAAGCGTGGCCAGGCAAAATAACTAAATGTACACTGAGGGGTTGCCAAAAGCGGATAGGCACCAGAACCTCAGGGTCAGTTTACACTGTTCCAACTGGAAAATTAACGAGCAAAACATCCATATTTTCTAAATAAATACAAACTATACTTTCCTACAGCCTTCACTAACAAATAGACGCATATATTTAAACTTCTGTGTTTTCTAAATAAAAGAGATAGTGAATAAAAATCTTTCGGTTTTGAGATCTGGGGCCTAAATCTTTTACATTATCATTACTTACCTACTTGTCTCAATAAACATTCTGCATAAAATTGATATTTACAAGCACTAATATCTACATAAATTGATTATTTGATACGTTTTTATATTAAAATAGTTATTTATCTATGATTTCACTGAAGACTCCTGGATGACGTGCAGAGACAAATTTTCTCTTTACCCCATGTAATACAAAATCTAGTTCTGAAAAGAGCATGAATTCTGTATTTATCATCTTTGATGTTAATATATTGATGTGTATAATTAACCACAAAAAATGTTAATGTTTTAAATATTCCACTTGAAAGGATTACTGCTGCCACCATCTGTATGAGAGGGGAAAAAATGGTAGGGGTGGCCACAGGGGTGGTAAATGATTGGCTAAGGGTGGCCATGGCCACCCCTGGCCCCCCATGTAGCCTCGCCCCTGATAATATCTGAGAAAAAAAAGCAGCTTTTTCCTATCCTTCATAATTCCATGAAGTCTATAAAATGCACCAGTGTGAATGACAGTGTAACAGATCCAAGCTAGATATGCTAGACACATTACAGTGTTAATAGGTTTGATTACCTTTGATGTTCTTAAAGGTTCTTCGATAATTGTCAGAATGAACCTCTCTTGGGAAGCTTTAACAGCGTTTCATGGTTTCTTTATGTGTGGATAATAACTCACACTGTGATTCACCAATTAACCAATTTTATGGACATCTCTCAGGGGTACGTTTCATTTAGATCATGGCATGATATTTTTAAATCATTATGCTGATTTAATATTATACAAGAGGATAATGTTATATGATAGTATAGCTGATATATGAATATGCAGTAATTGAAAAAATGTTGACCAATTCTTTATTTCAGTAAAAAGTATAAACCTTTGTGTAAGAACAAAAAAGGACCATCCTATCTTGGTTCTCAGACTTAATAAGGTCTAAAAAACCCAGTCCAACCCCCTCTGAGACAAATAAACACTTCAATGACAAAATAAAAACAAAAAAATACTTTGTTTCAGTTTAATGAAAAAAAAAAACACAAAAAAGTATACAGATTTCTTGCAAGAGGTGACATTTGAAAAAAAAAAATAAAAACAAACATATAGCTTTTTAAGATTGAAAACAGTTTCCTGTCATTACTCAAATCCTTAATTTTTCTAACATGTCTGATCACATACAACAGTGCAATATTTATTTCATTGGATTTAGTTTGCATATTTTGATATTGTTATATTAAGTACGATTAAATCAGTTTTTTTTCTCTCTCTCTCTCCATTCATTTCTTGTGAAACTGGGTTCACATACGTTTGTATATGTAGACGAGATTTTGGCAGTTTGGACAGCGATGCTCCACATCCTGGCAGGAATCGAGGCAGAAAGGGATACAGCAGCAAAGCCAGCACCTGCATGTGGGAAATAAGATTTTCTTATTGATAATACTGTGGTTATTTGGTATTTTTAAAATTCTTCTTTTAATCAATTAATGCTGAGATTACTCCTTTAAGATATAATCTATTGAGCAGATTTTTACCCTAAGAGGGTCAACCCTCCACAAATGGCCCAGGCAAGCAGTCCTGGTGTTTGTGTTGTATTAGTGATCCCAGTGTGCTGGCAGTGAGGACACATAAACTGTCCCGGGATTTCAGTTAGTGCTGGTGATACTACCACGTGAGACACTGAAATACAAAAGAAATACTTTAATTAAAACATACATATTATTTTTAAATGTTTAAACAATTGTGTTACACATACAGTTCAGTTATTTCTTATAAAACTAAAAAAAATATGTTACACCGGAAGTAAAATAAAATTCTTATAAAAGATTTGAAAAAATATAAATGCTGGAATATAAACCTCCACTTTAGTCTACAGTTAGGGGGTTTAAAGCTTTTCTTCCATGTTTTAGTTGTTTCCCTGCTCTATAAAACCTGTTTAATGATTGCAGTTTAGTAAAAACTGTTAATGACCTGGAAATCAGTTGTGCGGAAATAGTAAAATATCTAAACCATAAAGGTGACAGGCCCTATAGGACTGAAGCTGGGCGCTGCTGGTCTATGGCCATTTAAAGCCTCCGACAGATTTTCTTCTAGGGCAGGCCTGCCCAAAGTTGTCCTTCACAGGCTGCTGTCCTGCAGGTTTTATCAGGTTTCCCTGTTTCAGTAGAGCTGATTCTGATGATTTTAGTTCAACAAAATCATGTTAATCAGCCATCAATTGAAATAAGCTGAGCTGAAGCAAGGAAACCTCTAGAACCTGCAGGAAAGTGGCCCTCACCCAGCTGATTTATTCAGGGTGATGATGCTAGTTTTAATTTCCCTACAGTACAGGGCATTTAGCATTTATTTCCAAAATGTTATATTTTGATTTTATCTGACCTTAGATCCTTAGATCTTTATTGGTTGCTTTGTGCAAATTTGTTATAAAATCCCAACAAAATACATACATAGAAGTTTAAGGAAAGAAAATGTTCAGATGTTATAAATACTTTTGGAAGGTTCTGCACAGGGATATAACTAAAAGGTTTCTTACTGGAGAACAGATTGTATTGGCAACACATTGTCTGGTTTTGATGGTTTCAATGTTTCCCTATGGAGGGACATTTTGACCTTTGGTAGATATACAATACAAAGAAATCGCAGCTTCAGTGAAATATCAGTATAATTTGTGTGAGCACAATTTCATGTTAAAACAGTTTCATTACTTATTTTATGCATTGGAAAAGCAAAAAAAAAACAACAATCAGAAATCATTGAAAGCATTCCCGGGGTGCGTAATCCAGCCATAATAACATTAGAAGGGAAAAAAGGAGGAAGACAGTGCTGCTAAACATCACCAGCAGAGGTCATAAAAGACAACAATGGTTATGTTAATGCTAGACACACATGTGAGCAAGCTTTGCGTGCTGATCCAAATGTTGGGATTTAAGGAGCGAGAAAAAAACAGAAGATTTGAAGTTGAAGTATAATATTTAGGTTAGGCTAGAATCCATACATATATTTATTTATAGGGGAAAAAACATATAAGATTGTTATTTAATGATACAAAGTCAATGCTTAGAATAGGAGAGAGTAAGAAATAAACATAGAACAAAAGCTATCTGTTAAGCTCACATACCAAAGAAACAGTCACATTCTTAAAGACGAAGAGATCTCAATAAGGCAGCAACCCACTGCAGTGGTCAAATTTTGCCGACTAAAATAGAAAATGATACCCGACAGGTTACTATGTCGGTTAACCTGTAGGTGTGTGTTGTTGTTAAGAAATAAGCTTCAGTACTCTATTGCTTTGAGTCATAGCTGATGAGATATGGATATGTTTTTCATTCAAAGCGCATTTTCCTGAATCTGGTTACCTCACCTGCTGGTGTACCGACTGCAGGAGCAAATCCAACACCTGTAGGAGGAGAGAAACATTTCAGCAAAACAATACAACTATTGTTTCAAAGCTCTATCAACAAAAGACAATTTGCTTGCATAAAATTCTCCATCAACGAAAAACAGTTGTGCCATTGTACCTTTTCAAAGCTTGTAGCTGTAAGTTTTCAACAATTTGATGATTTTTGTTTTGAACAACTTTGAATACGTCTTAAGATATGTGACAAAAGGTTAGGGAGTGATTGCATACCTCCCTGATATCCAGCTGGGGCAGCAGGGAAGCCTGGCTGAGCAGAGAAGCCTGGCTGAGCAGGGAAGCCTGGCTGAGATGGATAAACTGGTGGAGCATGCATTCCAGGTAGAGGTCCGGTACCGCCATAATTCATCGGAGGTCCGGGGTAGGGTGGAGCAGCACCCTGTGGTTGGAAACCTTTTTCCATCTTCAGAAATCCCACCTTTTAAACAAATATTATTCATGAAACCTATATGTATTTGACAAAAGGTTAATGATTAAATACACAAAGTAGGTTGAACAGCAAACAAATAAAAGCAAACTGGTTTAAACATAAAGGGTGGTTCATTCGTAATGGAAAAAAAGATTAACTTCCCTCTGTGCAGCTCACAGCTAGGTGAAAGTAACAGCGTGTGCTTCAGAAAGGATCCATGACCCTGAACTGAATACTTTATTTTACTGGAAGTGAAAAATGTTAGCAAGCATTCTGATCTACGTGGGGGGAAACAGCAGTAGAGCGGAAACATCTGATATAAAAACAGCTCTCCTTAGTTCAGTTTTATTCTTCTTTATAGATGCAAGGAGCTTTGATCCCCGGAATCCATTTTGTTAAAATACCAAGAGGGGTAATACAAAGCTCCATTTAAGAATCTGACATTTCTTCCTAAAAACATTTGATTTAAATGAAAAGATCAATAATGGGCTCTTTAAAACTTCACAGCCGGACCGGTAAAGAGAATTGTGACCAGTTATCTCCATTGCATAGAGGAAACGTGCCTAGAAAAGAGATTTGTCCAAAAACTTCAGACAAAAAGATCACCGCCTTGCACAAACAACACTGGAAAAAAATAATACAACAACTTTCGGAATTTGATTAAACATATTTAGTTACTTTAACACAATTGCTTCATGTTAGCAGGGTATGGCATAAAACAATTATGTTACCAAAAGCGGTTGCATTATTTTTTTCAGGTAGCAAAAAGATAAGAATGAATCTGAGACACAATCTGAAATATGTAGCTCCACTACCTGAATGTGGTAGATAGATGATGGTAGCCACCATATTAGACTGGAAAACACACCAGAAACTAGGCTTGGCGTCAGTTACCGCAATAAAGCATGTAGTAAAATTGCTTAGTGTTTGAACTCTGAAATATTCACTACTCTGGGACATTTTAATTTCCTTGTGGGCTGTGTGGCAAAATGGATTTAATCAACCATCAGGAAATTCTAAATGTCAGCATATTTGTGGGAAATAAACATTTTCAGGCTTTATTATCCTTTAAACCAGACAACTATCCCAAGAATAGACCAAAGTCCACTAAGGTTGGTTTCAGAGGAGATCCTAAAAAAACTTAGACTTAAACATGTAAAAATCTGTGGTGGGAGTCGAAGAGGGGTTGCAGCACTCAAAGTAATGAATATTCATGATTCTAAGGCATTCTCTCATCATGAGTGGGCAAAAATTCCCCAGGAATGCAGCTAGAAACTTGTATTTGGCTACGAATGACACTCAGCGCAGTTTGTAGCAACAGGGGCCTCTGTCAAACAGTTAAGCTGTTTTTTCACTATAGGAAAGTTTTGGTTAATTTGGGAAAAACAACCTGTGATATTAGTTGTGTTGAGCCATTTTATTCTGTCTGCTTTAGCTACAAGTTAACCTCATTTATTGTTGGGCTGGATAATTTTAGGTAGAACTATATCCGGAATTATACTGACACATCATGAATTATATAGCCCACAGTTACGTTAGAGGAAGTTGAGTCCTGAAAATGAGTCAAAAAAGGAAATCAAGTTCATAGGGGGTCATTATACAAGCAAAGCAGGAGGGGGAAGAAAATGAGCAAGAGGAGGAGAACTAATTCTATCATATGACACTTGTGCTAAAGCAATACATCTCATGTTTAAAAGTAATGGAGATAGAAGATAGAAGAGTTCAGCCAAATCTCTGTAGAGGGGCATTGGGACATAGAGATAGTGGACCCCTACAAGTACCTGGGTGTTCATCTGAATAACAAACTGGACTGGACTCCCAACACTGAGGCTCTGTATTAGAAAGGTTGGAGCAGACTGTTCCTGCTGAGTTCTTTTGCGCTCCTAAAGACCTTCTATGACTGTTGTGACATCAGCCATCTTCTATGGAGCTGTCTGTTGGAACAGTAGCTAATCTGTAGCTGATCAGGAAGGCCAGCTTTGTGATTGGATGCCCTCTCCACTCAGTGCAGAAGGTGGGAAACAAAAGGATCCTATTTAAATTAACATCTCTATTGGATAATGTCTAACACCCTATGCATAAATATATTGCTAAATTTCAGTGACAGACTGACCCTAAATGCACCAGGGATCATTATCACAGATCCTTCCTCCCAGCAGCTGTAAGACTCTTTAACCACCACTTAGGTAAAAGCTTATTTAGGTTGTTCCAAACAACCTAAATACATTCTTACATTCATGCAGATTTTGCACAGTTTCTGTCTTAAGTCAGTTAAATTAACATGCTGCTGTCATTTTGCACAACTGTCAAATATCCATTACTGTAAAAAAAAATATGTCATAGCTGTACATTGGTTATTTATTTTCCAGATGCACAGTTTTATGTTGTTAAAACACTTTACAGTACAGTATTTTATTGTATATCTTCCAACTCGTCACTGTTATGTTATTCTTATACATTTTTCTAAGGTCCATATATTTGTGACACCAGAAGTTCCCCATTGTGGGACAGTAAAGGGATTTTCTATTCTATTCTATTCTATTCTATTCTATTCTATTCTATTCTATTCTATTCTATTCATGATAGATACAGTAAAGGTGAACATGTCATCTGATACCTTTTAAATGTCCAGCAGTTTGTTACAGGATTAAATTGCAGGAGAGAAAATTACGTACCTAGAGAAGAAAAAGAAAGACCTGTTGTGGTAAATGACCAACCTAAAGACAACTAACACAGCAAGTCAGTGACCATGTAGTTTGTGAATTTTGTACATTTAAATGTGACTAGTTTCATGAGGTTTCAACTACAGCATAGATGCAAATCATCATTGGATTTCTCTCACTTTCTCCAAGGTGGCAGAAATGTAGAATGTTGAGGTAGGGGCCTCTCAGATAGTTTCAATTTTTTGTAAGAACATTTTAGTTCAGTTTTCTCAAATGAATGTCTGATCTAACAAGTACAGAAGAAGCACTTCATTACTTAAAGTCTGAATAGCGAATCTTGATTTATTATCATCATCCCTATGTGCATGATAGCACAATCCAAAAAAAGTAATCAGTCAGTCCAGGACATTAAATCAATGTTATACCCATCCATTATAACCCTGAAACTATGGTTTGGTAGTTTTTAGAGTTGTTATTTTTCTTTGTTTGGTTTTAGTTTTTCTTTTGTTCTAGTTTTTATCAAAGTTCCAATAGGACGTTTAGTACACTCAATATTTGTATTTGATTCTTCTGATTATTTTGGACTAAACTGCTCATTGTTGGGTTAAAATAAAAATACAACACATACAAATATTTTATACAACTCCACTAACATTTAGAAAAAATGTAATTTAAAAGGTTTAAAGTTTAACCACAACCCAGTCCTAATATTTAGCAATCTATACATTTTTGACATGGCGATGCCAGGGTGTTTAAGCAATTCTCTAGTCTTAATTAGGCTGATTTCACTGATCTTGGTAATGTACTCATATATATATATATATTTTTTTTTTTTTTTTTTTAGCTCAAGAGATTTAAAGAAGGTTGATTCTCAATTCAAATCAATTCAAAAATACTTTACTTATCCCAAAAGGGATATTCAGTGAATTCACTTTAGCCGACTTTACCCGTCTGAAATCAGGTTTTTCGTGTTTGGCACGGTTGCCATTTTACAACAGCGAGCTGTAGACATGTTCTAACCATGCCACACAAACTGCCACTTTCAGATTAAAGTAAGGTGTTTGAACAACCCAAAGAAAACCTATACGGGGAAACAGACTGGAGTATACTGAAACTCAGTGTCACAATTCATAGTGAAGGAAATTTAAGATACCTATTGATGGTTCCCTGCAAAGAAAAACAAAAAACACACCGCCCTATATGTATAAAGTGCAAACTCTACTAAATTTGCAGCAATACAAACAATAGGCAGGTTTGAGATATTTGGCCAGTTACAAGAGGTATGCATTTAAATAAGAACAATTTTTAAGTATGTTACGGGCAACAAACCGGCATTGGGTTGTTTTACTGTAAGTGGAGCACAACAAAACAAATGATCTGACTTCACCTCTAATCAATAGTTTTTAAATCACTGTATAACTACACCGACCTTCAATATGAACAGAACCAAATAACACAAAGCATAATTAGACCCCTAAAATCATTGAGATCATCCCATAATAAACAAACCTTGGACTCTAAAGATATATATGAGAAGAGAAAGCTGAAAGTCCATATATAAAAAGGGTTGCGGTTTAGGTGTTTTTGTGGACTTTCCTCCAAAAGGAAGTGTTATGACAACTTAAAGGTTGGTAACAAATATAGCTTAGCATCCATTTTCTAAGTGTTTGAGCATGTCACGTTGACATGTTAATGTTGTTTTTCATGGCCTGTGCAAAATCCTTAAACTTGTGCAATAACCAGGGGTGACTAAACATTGTTCTGAGAAAAAAAGTTTATTACCATCAAACTTCATACTGAGGTCTTAAAATTGTGCAAATTTAAAACCCTCTTTTACAAGAGTTCACTGGACTGAATGACCCCTTTCCTGCTTTATTGCGCTGTGTAAACAATAAAACATATATTGACGTAGAAAAGTGAATCATATTCATCAGGATAAAAGATGCCATTGTTCGGAACTTTTTTCCCCCATCCCAGAATAAGAAATGCAACCTTTACTTTGGAAAACTTAATACATTGTTTCCATTTTTTATTCTATTTTAGTATTCTTATCAAACACTTCTTCAACTAACACATTTTTTTCAGTAAGTATTAATTTCTATACTATTATGAAATGAAACTGACAATAGAAAGGGACAAAAGTAAAAAAAAAAAAAAAGAAAATGGAAAGAAATTACTGAAGCAATGTTTAACAATAGCGAAGAGGCAATTTGTCTTTTTAGTCATTTACTTCCTGGGAAAGGCTCAGTGCTACCGATTTTCAATGCTAAGAGCCCTTTGGCTGCTTTATCGAGGTTTTTTGTCCACAGGATTGAAGATAAGTGCTTTCCAGACAGTGCAGACATATTTTCTGCTCAGCTTTGCTCATGTTGACATCCCTAATCTGTTGCTACAAAGCCCCTTTGTGTCTCATTGTTAATTCATCCTAAATCTGTCCGTTTTAGACAGTTTGTTTTATACAGTTCAACATAAATCAAATATGAAACCCAAAAATTAATGGACATGACATCCGCAGCCCAATACCATGTGAGTAGAAATGTAAATAAGTTTAACTTACCGGTGAATTAGAAAGATAAACAACAACAAAAGAGAGGGCTGAGATGCTTCTCTGTTCAGTCTTCCTGGGCCAGAGTGATAAGGAAGTGCAGCAAGTCTCGGACTAAATTGTAGCTGTTAAAGTTATACAGTAGTAGCATGACCATCTGATGCTTCCCCTTTCACACAACAGATTTGATTTAATGGAACCATGTGGTTCCGCCCTCCTTTTTTTCCACCTACCATGTGACCAGGGCAAACATAAATAAAACATAAAGCAATGCAATGCTTACTTCAAAGATCTTCAAGCATATATCTATTATGATACCAAGAAGCAAACAGAATATATCAAGCATCATATTTATATTCAATATTTAACAATCAAATTGGTCTTTGATCATGACTTTGCCTTTTAAGGTATTTTACATATCTTAAAGGCAACAATATTTTTCACAACTGAATCTTTACCTTTTAGGATCTTTAATTTTTAGATAACACACTGCAAAGAAACAAAAACTTTTTTTATCTGAATAACAGAGTTAAATATTGCTTTTTCATCAACTCTGGTTCTCTGATATTCAACAATAGTAAAACTTATAGGGGCATTTTAATAACTTTCAAAAAGAGAGGAAATATCTATTCTTGTTCTCTGCATCTTACAAAACAAAAGCTACTTGCTAGTTTCTTCAGTGTCCACAAAACTTTCAGCATTTCTGCATGATTTTCAATCCGGGGTATAAAAGACAGATGCTTGAATTGTTCAGAGGTCACAGGACTGTCATGGGGACAGTAGTTCCCCATGACAGTCCTGTGACCTTTGAAGATTCCTGGAATGACTTGCAATGTTTCCACCAAGAATGAATTATATCTAAATATTTTGTTCTAAATGCACACTGGTATCAGGTAGGTTTTGGATGTGCCTCTGTTTCTATATAGTTTCTATGCAGTGGATATGACTGCCCACAGTGTCGCTACGCAATCTGTACTATCTACACGCTGCGGCTTCAGTATCACTGGAGGGCTCAGAAAACCGCCTTTAAAACCGGACATCAAATCAGCCTGAGGACAGCAAGGCCCAACCTTTCATGAGGTATAAGAGAGGCCAAGAAGCAGACCTTCAGGATGATAGCCCATCGCTTCAGTGACAGCAGGGACCTAAGCAGCTTGTGGCAAGGGTTACAGTCAATGATGGTCTAGAATCCCCCAACGCAGACCAGTGATGACATCGTCCCTTTGCTGAATGAGCTTAATGGCTTCTTTGCCAGCTTTGGGGCAGTGAACATTACGCCTGCACAAAAATCACCATCCCCTACAGATGATCAATTGATTAAACTATACATGGAGAGTTTGAGTATAGCAATCTACAGTATCAGAGCATGAAAATCTTCTGGTCCTGACAGAATTCCTAGCCGTGTATGAAGGGACGGCACTGGAGAACCAGTAGATGTCTTCATGGATTATCACTCTGAGGATTGCTGCTGCTGTTTTGACCTCTCATTAATCCTTTGGTCAACTCAGCTTGCGCCTAGGCTGCCCAGGTTCTGGGGCAGGCATAGCAAAGAAGGCCTTACTTCATCTCCCCATAAGTCTGTTGAAAAGCAAAACTAAATAATTCACTGAGGTCATACCTTATTGTACAAAAAATCTATTTTGATTTAGACCATCACAAACTAAAATTCCATTTTCTTTTATTCTGTACCATTTTCTTGTTTCTTTTTTTTATATTTCTTTTTTTTTTTTTTACATTATTTGTATTTGTGTGTTTCTTTTTGCTTGTGTGTTTACTTTTTTATTGTTTTTTCATGTACTCTGGTTTTATTTTTGTTCTTGGTATTTCCCACTGAGTTTATGATTGTCATATTGCAATACATGCACATGCACAGGGAGAACATGCAAACTCCATGCAGAAAGACCCCGGGATCGAACCCGGAGTCTTCTTGCTGCAAGGCAGCTGTGCTACTCACTATGACACTGTGCAGCCCTCAATGACAAATTGTTCAGAGAAATGTATTTGTCACAGCATTGAAGAGGATTTACGTGAAGAGTATAAACATAATCTTTTGATTAAAAAAAATTACATATTCCTGGATAATTTTTTTTTTTCTCACAACAACCATGGTATAACAGGAAAGTTTCTTGCACAGTTGCCTTGCAACAAGAAAAGCTTAGAATTGTACCTCTGGGCTTTTTTGCATTTTTTGAATGTCCTCTCTGTGCATATTCTCCAGCTTTCTCCCACAGTATACTGTAAAAACAAAACTTTTTGGTCATTTGGTTATGAGTAAATTGCCCTTAGCTATACAATTGTGGGTGTTTGTTGTCTCTACGTTGCCCTGTAATTAGCTGTCTAAAGTGTACCGTCCCTCCTCTGATCTGAGTGATCTTGCACCCCTCCAACAGACACAATCTTTCTTCAAATCTAACAAATATTGTTTTAGAGGTTTCTGCTACATTTTTGCAAGTTTGTGCACCAGTTTAATATTTGCATTACTATTATTTTTAAGGTTTGTTTTTCTTTTAAACCCTATATAGCAATCCTAAGCACTGGTCAGGGTATTATACGTCATATACAGCCTATATATCACCATTACAAATACCGACTTCATATGCCCACTTCTTTATCCCCCGTGATTCGCACTATTAAGCAGAATCTGGAGTAAAGATACTGGAACAGCTGGGCTTCAATACACCCCTCTGCAACTGGATGCTAGACTTCCTCACAGGCAGACCTCAGCCAGTCCGGGTCGGACAGAACACCTCTGATGTCATCGTCCTAAGCACAGGCTCTCCTCAGGGCTGCGTACTGCATCCTTATAACGTTCACGCCACTACATTAAAGTCAAATATTGTATTTTCTACTCCAGCTGTTGCTACTTGTTCCTCTTGGCTCGGCTTAGCTTTGTAATGCACTGTTGCTGTTCCTCTTTTTTGAAATGCAATTTCAACATTCAAGATAGCAGCCCTTAGGACTGAATTCAGAGATTTGCATGAAATTCCACAAATGTGAGAAACTCAGGGCAGATAGTATTTGTATTTTTTAAATTTTATTAAGGTTTTAGTTGTTGCCATGTGGCCAAGTTGTTCAGTAGGATGAGTTTTCACATCAGAGTTCTAGTTTCTTTGTGGTCATAGTTTCAACCTTAAACCTATATTCCACAGTGAAAGTGTAAAGAGGATCCAGACACCCTTTTTTTTCTGGTTTGTTTTAGAATAATACATAATAATCAAAATAGCTGTCCTTATTTTTTGTGGTATTTTTATGCCGAAGTTCTTTACAGGTGGTGTATTCAAAGCAGGAAGTTATATGCTTGAATAGATCAGGTGGTTTCTAAAAGTTATTCGTAACTGCTGCGAATCAGCTGTTCAAAGAGACAGTTTACAAAATAAACTACTGGATTGCAAAGTGAGAGAAAAGGTGTCATTCATGAGGTATGGACTCAGGAATAAGAAATAGTTCACTCAAAATCCAAAATCTCACTGGGCCAGTGTTTAGTTATTCATGATCCCTGAGATCAAATGGCAGACATTATATGACAATAAGCAAATACTACTGATGAATTATTGGGTAAATTAAATAAAGTGGTCTTGAATGTCATTGTTTCTGAGCTGCATTAAAAAAGGGCAACAATTGAGAGTATGCCCACGTCTCCAGGGACCACTACACTACTGCTTCTAAATATTCTAATAACTTTAACCGGTCACATACTCTCCTACAGAAAAGATGCTGTCCTGAACACCAGGATCTTAACACTTGGACTGCTGATAAATTCCACTATGATCATGTCTTCTTTAAATGTCTTAGCCTGAACCCTACATTCCATAAATACTGAACTCCTGGTGGGCAAAGCCATTCTCTCATTTGTTGTTATGACATTGTACTCATGTGTTTACCCCACACTATCAGCTTTTATAAAAGTCTAGATTCTGTCTTTCCTAAAAACTGTAAAAGCTAGATTTACTGCTGTCAGCTTCTCTGTTTCCCCTGAGTCAGTCCCATCTTTCATACTTTCTGAATTGCTTGTTAACATTAAATAACTGACAACTCCCGCTAGCTCCTTTAAGCACTTACATATATATATGAGCAACTCAGATAGAACAAATTCATGGCACAGAGATAACTTGTTGTCCTCACATCTCCCATCTCTGCTAGAGCCAATAGTTAATGTCCTTTGAACTTGTCTCTATTTATATTCCTCACCTACAGTGCAGTAAGGAAGGTTATGAGTATGTACTTGTTTTTGTTAACCACTTTACACAGTCTGCACAAGCTTTTGTCACGAGTCTGGTAAAACACCATAAAAAAACTTTAATAAATATGCTTTAAAATTTGGATTTCTTTAAAGTCTTCAATATGATTAAAGTGGTGAATTAGAGAATCAGCTTTTTAACAAACTGAAAAAATGAATTTAAGGCAGAATTTTTGTCTCCTGTCTTTCATTACTGGGTGAACTGTTTAATCCAGGTGTGGCCATGATTACTGAGGTCAAGCACACCTGGAATAATAAGTTCATTAAGTAGAAAAGTACATGAAATAAAATAGCCTCTTTAAATTAAAGTTGTGCATATAGCCCATGAGGGGTTGCAGGCTCCAGGTTAAGTCCATATCACTCATATGAGAATGGGCAAGAGGAGCAATTGAACTGGACTCTAAAACAAATGTTGAAAATACTTATTGAAAAACATAAAGATAACTGGAAGTACCCACTAAACAAAGTGATTTATGTTTTACAATTTTATTAACAGTGAAGTGACAAGGTTATGACAAGAGCAATTATCTGACCTAGAGTTGCTCCTCTCCTAATTCAGATATTTATTGTTTATTGCATATTCTTAGCAGGTTTTTTGACGACCAGATAATTTAAAGCACCTTTGAATGAGTGCTCCACCTCTGATTCCATTTTCATCTAAGGAGTTCAGTAACAGTTCAGTGTGGCGCAATATTTCAATTTTGATACAATAGCACCCTCTATTGGTGGCTGTATGTATCAACCAGGCAGGCATTAATCAAGAAAAATACCCCTTAGGCTATAATTTTAGGAAGGAATATCATAATAGTATAGTTAAAAGCTCAAAGCAGTTGCTTTTGCATTATATGGACCCCTTAAATGTATCCTTTGGGTTCAAAGAGCTTATAGTTGATCTTATTAGAAACAAAAATAATCCCCTGTGGAAAAAAAGACAATTTTA